GTGTGTGTGTGTGTGTGTGTGTGTGTGTGTGTGTGTGTGTGTGTGTGTGTCTAGGAAGCATCTTGCAGCAGTCCCTCTTCTGATTTGTGCCTGGCATTTCAGTGTGCTTCTCTTCCGACCTGCTGATTACAGCCAGGCCCTGTGCTCGCTCAGATAAACGCTCTTGCTCTGAACTCCCCTGTAGGAGCTTCGAGGTCAGCTCAGTGCAGCTGGCCGCCAACTTTGTCTGAGTGGGTCCCAGCCTTAAGGGCTGCACCCTCGCGTCCAACCCATTTTTGGCTGGGGTTTCACACTATTCTTTTTGTGTGGTCTTGGCTCTGCCCCTCAGTAGAAACAGTGACCAGGTGGTTGCCTGCCACAGCTGCAAGGATGACTTCATTTGAGAGCTGTGTCACTTTTGGATCAGCTTCCCCAGGCCAGGGCAACAAAAGCAAAAATAAACAGACGGGACTACTTCAAACTAAAAAGCTTCTGCACCGCAAAGGAAACCATTAACAAAACAAAAAGGGCATCGGAATGGGAGAAGATACTTACAAACTCAACAAGGTGGGGATATTCAAAAAATATAAAGAACTCTTGCAACTCAATAATAATAAGGCTAACAACCCTATTTAAAAATGGGCAAATGGGGTGCCTGGGTGGCTCAGTGGGTTAAAGCCTCTGCCTTTGGCTCAGGTCATGATCTCAGGCTCTTGGGCAGGGAGCCTGCTTCCCTTTCTCTCTCTCTGCCTGCCTCTCTGCCTGCTTGTGATCTCTGTCTGTCAAATAAATAAATAAAAATCTTTAAAATTAAAAAAAAAAAGGACAGAGGGGCGCAGGGGTGGCTTAGTTGATTAGGTATCCAACTCTTGATTTTGGCTCAGGTCATGATCTCAAGGTGTAAGATCCAGCCTGCATTGGGATATGCATGGGGAGGGGGATGGGGGGGGGATGGGCCAAACAGGTGAAGGGTATTAAGAAGTACAAACTTCTGGTTACAAAATAAGTAAGAGGGATGTCACGTACAGCATAGAGAATATAGTCAGTACTATTGTAGTTAACTTTGGGGTGCCTGCCTGGCTCAGTCAGTAGAGCATGCAACCCTTGATCTCATGAGTTTGAGCCCCACATTGGGTGTAGAGATTACTTAAAAAATTAAAAAAATATATTGTAGTAATTTTGTATGAGGACGGATGGTAACTAGACCTATTGTGGTGAGCATTTTCTAATGTTTAAAAATATCGAATCACTATCCTGTATGTCGATTATAAATCAATAAAAAATTAAAATGTTTAAAACTGAAAAAAAAAAACACTATAAAGCATGCCACAGAGATGCATGGTACTCTAGGTACCCACGCCCAAGGTACTCAAAGGCTGAGGCCCATAGAGGGCTGTCGACTGCCTAAGATTCAGATTTGTGACTTCAATGCAGAACTCAGCCCGTCCCTTTTATTTCCAGGGAAAGCCTGGGTAGATCCCCGGAAGTATTGTGCATAAGTCCAAATATTGAATTGGGGTTGAGTTTTGCCCAGCAGCAAGATTCTGAAAATCCTAGAATCTGAGTGATGGGTTTACAGGGATTTATTAAATGAGTTACTTTTTCAAATGTTTGAAAATTTCATACTTAAACATTTTAGAAAGTCATTTGGGTCCATCAGCCCTTTGGGAAAACTAGAGTTGTCATGCAAAAACCAATGGGGTGCTTTGGTCAGCCCAAGAACTGGGAGGGCGAGGCAGTTGGTTCAGTGAACTGCTGGGAGCCTAGGGGTGTACAAAGCACAGCCCAGATGAAGCTTCGGACGGAAGCAGTTTGCCTTGGTGACAAAAATATTCTTTATACCTATACCAGGACATACCAAATGGGTTAAATATACTGAGTTTGATTTAGAGATTTTTTCCAGTTTAATGCTTGTAGCACCCACATGTTCAAGGACTTGGAGGAATTCTTAAACTATAACTAAAAGATAGTTTATTTACTAACTTTATCAAGTTATAGCTACTTGTTCCAGTATCATCCACAATCACAAAGGTGTTACAAGTTTGAAGCCAACCTAGGTCTTTGACAACTTGAGGTACTGGTAAGAAGTTACCTCTGGGTTTATTATGAGAAAAATTAACATAACATTTTTAATTAATAATAAACCCCGTTGTTGAAGCCACTTTTAGTTGGTATGACATACATAGAAATTATGTCTGCAGTAGGATTCTTTGGGTTGCAAGTGGCAGAAACCTGACTTGAATCAATTTAAAAAAAAAGATGGTTAATTAGAGGGATGATGGGGAGGGGGATGTGGCTTACACAGAGGACAAAGCAGAGGCAGGAATGAGAGCACCCTCATGGAACTCAGAGCCTGGGCGCTCGGATTTGAAGCCCCCAACTTTGCTTTCTTTGCATCTCTGTGGGTGACAGCTTTATTTTCTCAGGCGTTTTTATGTGATAAAGGACATGATTACAAAGCTGCCCTAGATTTATTTTCAATACATATCCCAAAGACAGGATTTCTCTTCCTGATAAATACAGCTTTTCTTTGAAGATAATCTCAAGTCCCAGAAGAGAAAAGGCAGGGCTGGGAGCCAGGGAGATGGTGGCCACAGAACATCATAGGGCTTCTTCAAAGTAAAGCTCACCTACTTTCTCCGCGCCCTCTTCCCTGACCCTGGCCTTGGTCACCTTTTGGAAGCATCAAGTGGAAACAGAGACTCCCATTACAGAGCCTCGGTGCCTGGAAGGAAGGTATTGCCCCTAGCTAGCTCCCCCATCTCCAGCTGAGCTGGGGACTGGCAGGTGCTCTTTCAGTGCTGTTTAATTTGAGCTCCAAAACACCATGTACAAGGAGAGGAAGGATCTGTGCTCCTGTATTATTTGAAAACCAAAACTTCACGTGTGGGGAAAAAATAAGTTTCTCTAAAATTCCAGGAAACTGCTGCAGTAGGGTGTAAGTGTGAAGCTTTTAGGCAGATTCTGGGCGACATTTTTGGTTCTAAGGTCGCTCTTGTAAAGTGGGAATAACAACGCCTAGGTTATTTTCCCACGATCACCACCTTGTACTGCGATCTCTCGCCGCTTGTTCTCCCTGGGATAGAACGAGCTCCTGGAGGTTAGGTGTTGAGCTCCGTCGGCTCATCCCCAGAGCTGGGCATAATGTCTGTGGAATGAACGAATGGGGAAGTCGTGGAGAGGAAGACCGGGAAGCCTCCCCGCAGGAGGTGACCCGCAGAACCCACCGAACAACAACACCCGCTTCATTTCTGTCGCCCGGAATCCTCACAGCCCAGGCTCCGAAAGGGCCCGCCTTTCCTCCCAGGATGCTCCGCGCCGGCGCGTCCCATGATTGGCTGCGTCTCCCCCAGGTGATGCTGGGCTGGCGGCGGCGGTTGCCGGGGCGACAGCTGGAGAAGTGGCGGTCAAGAGGATTTGTGGAGGGTTCCCGCGGCGGTGCAGCAGGTAAGCGTGTTCCCCGACGCGGTCCGGCTGCCCCGGCATCCGCAGTCCCCGCGCGGAAGGAGCTGTAGTGGGCCCCGAGGGCCGAGGATCTGCGAGGCGCTCGCCCCGGAGGAGAGCCAGCTTGGCAGCCGCTGCCGAACGCCCCCACTTCTGGTCAGCCGCCCTGGGCGCTTACTCTGGCGTGGGCCGGAGTCGGCCTCCTGGACAAACCGAAGACAGGCCCAGCTGCTTCCCGCAAGTAGTCCCTGATCTGTGCCTCAGTGGGCCACACTTGGAGGGGGGCGCAAGCCGTCCCGCTGCGTAATGACGGCGTGAGCGGGTAGCCTGGGGCTTTTAGATGGAGCCCCTCCATTATCTGCATCAGCTAACCTCCTCCCCAGACTTCATCCGATCCAAGCAGAACTAGGATGCTAGCCATTTGTCTTGCAGACAAATCCCATAGCCTTCCCGTTACTCAGCCAGCTTGTAGGTCTGAAAGCCCTTTATACAGAAAATAAGAAGCTGCCACACTGCAACCCCCAGGAGGGGCTGAAGAAGTTTTCTCTAGTTTTTGCATAAAGTAGAGCAGTGCTTCTCAAACTTGAGTGTGTGTAAAAGTCATGCAGAGAGCTTGTTTAAAGCAGTCGCTGGACATCGTGCCTGCTATGGTGTTCAGGAAGATCAGGGTGGTTCTAGGAATTTCATTTGCACAGGCACCCCGGCTGATTCTGATTGAGGTGGTCCTAGCAATTGGCATAATGCTATGTAGTGATTAGGCTCGGTCTGGATTTAAATTTTGACCTTCGTCACTCACTGCCTGGATTTTGGGGAGCATCTCAGGCTTCTGGAGCCTCAGTTGCCTCATCTGTAAAAGAATTTAAGTCACATTCATCTCTCAGGTGTATTGTGAAGACTAAATGTGAAGCATTTTGCACGCTGCCTGGCATACAATAAATTCTTAATAAATGAACTTTTATGGTATAAATGTTTAGAGAAAATTCTAATTTCTGAGAATGTCAGAGTAATAGACTGCCCAACAGTGGCTCACATTCACTGAGAGACCATCACAGTAGACTCTTACTCAAATGACGGTCTTGGGCGCCTGGGTGACTCGGTGGGTTAAGTCTCTGCCTTTGGCTCGGGTTATGATCTCGGGGTCCTGGGATCGAGTCCCGCGTCTGGCTCTCTGCTCAGCGGGGAGCCTGCTTCCCCCCCCCTTTCTCTGCCTGCCTCTCTGCCTACTTGTGATTTCCGCCTGTCAAATAAATAAATAAAATCTTTTAAAAAAAAGTCTTTTAAAGAAAAATGACAGCCTTGAAGAACTTCTCTGAGGAAGTGATGTTTATTAAGCACAGGGGTTAGCCAGGTGAAGAAAAGGAGGAAAATGTTGCAAGCAGAGAGAAGAGTATTTGCAAAGGCTCTGAGGTAGGAAGGAGCTGGAGTTCTCAAAAACAACAAAGTTTTCTTGTTATAGGGCCTTCAAAAAAATCCTGTTCTCTTTGCTTGGACTTCATTTATTTGTAAATATCTTGGGTGTCCACCAGGCTCTGTTAGGTTCTGGAGGGATCAAATTAATTAATTAATTGATTTTATTTATTTGAGAGAGAGTGCATGGGTGGTAGATGGGGGGACTTGGGGAGGAGCAGAGGAAGAGGGAGAGACAGACTCTTAAGCAGGTTCCTCACCCAGTGTGGAGCCTGGCACAGGGCTCTATTTTATGACCCTGAGATCATAACCCGAGCCAAAATCAAGCATTGGATGCTTAACCAGCTGAGCCACCCAGGTGCCCCTGGAGGGATAAATCCACCTCACTGCCTTCGTAAACAGGGTAATAAGTGTAGCAGTAGAAGTAAAGGTAGAGTTCAGAGGTACCCCAGAGGAGAGAGAATGCCTTGATGGAGAAGAAAGGGGAGGGGGTCATAGGAGACCTCCTGAAGGAGGTCAGTTCCACGTTCAGTTAGCACAATGAGTCAAGTTTGTGGTGGGGCGAGAACATCAAACAGAAGGTTTGGGGTTGTGAAAGAGCATGTGGTACTGGTACTGGGGAATGCCTGGGATTTACCACTGATGGGCCTGATGTGGGGAAGGGGGAGAAGGGGCAGGAGTGGTGTGTCCAGAGAAGGGCTGCAGAGATGCTGGTCCCTAACAGGAGGTGGTCTTTCTCCTCCTCATGAGTCCGGCATGTCTGCAGGTGCCAGGAACGGTAGGTGTCCTGTCCTCCCCGCTACTTCCAGACCACTGCCTCCCTGCTTCAGAACCCCCAGCTCCTTTGATGTGCACATCTGGGCCTTTACCCCTCGCTACCCTTCTTTGAGGCCATCGCCTAGGGGGGCACAGATGTAACCCTGGGAAGGCTGTAGCGCCCGGCTCACTGTCTACCCCTCTGCCTCCTCTACTGGAGATTTCACCCTCCTGGCTACTCACTCCAGTTTCTTCATTTTTAGGTGTGTCTTTAGTCCATTCTCTTTATCCACCACTCCCATGGTCATGAACATTTTATACTGCATCACTTCCAAAGTCAAGCGCCTGTTCTGCTCTGATCACACTTTTTATCTTTCAAGCTCCCGGGAATGTACCTCCGAAGTGGATCTTAGGCGCCATGCTGCCTTCAGCACATGTTGGACCCTGTTGCTCATTCGCTGCCCTCCCCCCCCCCCCCCCGGCACCCCCTTCCTCCAGCCCTATTGCTCCATCACTATTACACTTGTTTTCTCTTTTCCCTGTCTTCTGGAAAAACCTCACCTGGGCTAATCTAACTCCAACAGCTGGGGCTGGAGAAACTGCAGAATTGTGCAGACTGGTTCCATTTTGGATTCGAGTCCATGTTGTCTTAAGCAGACTCTCAATATTGGAAATTGTGTCACGGGTCAGTAGTCAGCTTGGTTCCCACCTGCTCTTCTCTTCTAGCTATCAACACACCTCTTACTGCCAGCTGATGACCTTGTTTCTTGTTTTACTCATTGCTGAATCTGTCTATTTTTTTGGTCAGTACCCATCTTCTCTGCCCTCCCTCCATGTCAGGGGATGGACTGTCCTCGCCCTGTCTAGGGCCCAGCCCTCCAGTGGGATACTGGGTGTGGCAGGAACCTTGTTTCCTTAACCCTCTCTCTCTTCTACCTCAAGTTGTCCTTCTCTAACTAGGTTCTTCCCACCAACCTACAGACCTGCTGTTTATAATGTCTTCCTCCTTAAACCTTCCATACTTTCTAGCCACCACAGGTTCTCTCCTCTCCATTTTGTTACAGATCTCCCTGTCCCTCCTTTGTTACTTCTCTTCCTCTCTTTAATGCTTTCCAGTCAGGTGCCCCTTGTCACTGCTCTTGTCCATGTCACTGTCAAACTCCATGTTGCCAAATCCAGGGCTCAAGTCTTCTGTCCCATGTCACTTGACCATGTGTAGTCGCAGTTGATGTGGGCTTCCAGGTGCCGCAGTCTCCTGCTTGTGTCCCACTGACAAGTCCCTGCTCTTGCTTTGTCTCTTGCTGGATGCTTGTCCTCTCCCTGAGCCCTTGGTCCCCGAGTGCTCCACGGTTCAGGTATAGGCCTGAGCTCTGTTCTGTTAGGCCTTCTTCTTAGGAGTCCTCTCTGTTTAGGATCCTGTCTTCTGAAATGCCATCTTTATGCTGACAATTCCCAAATGCTTACCACCAGCTCCCGCCTTTCCTTTTTTTGTTCTTAATTTAAATTCATTTAATTAACATATAATGTATTATTAGTTCCAGAGGTAGAGTTCATCAGTCTTGTATAATACCCAGTGTTCATTACATCACATACCTTCCTTAGTGTCTGTCACCCAGTTACCTCCCCCACACCGCCTTCCTCCCCTCTAGCAACCCTCGGTTTGTCTCCTAAGATTAGAAGTCTCTTATGGTTTGTCTCCTACTCTGGTATCATCTTATCTTGTTTTATTTTCCCCTCCCTTCCCCTATGCCACTCTGTTTTGTTTCTTAAATTCCACATATGAGTAAGGTCATATGAAAATTTCTTTATCTGATTGACTTATTTCGCTTAGCCTAATACCCTCTAGTTCCAGCCATGTCATTGGAAATGGCAAGATTTCATTTTTGATGGCTGCATAATATTCCATTTTGTATATATACCACATCTTCTTTATCCATTCATCTGTTGATGGACATCTGGGCTCTTTCCATAGTTTGGCTATTATGGACATTGCTGCTATAAACATTCGGGTGCACATGCCCCTTCAGATCACTACATTTGTATCTTTAGGGTAAATACCCAGTAGTGTGATTGCTGGGTCATAGGGTAGCTCTATTTTCAACCTTTTGAGGAACCTCCATACTGTTTTCCAGAGTGGCTGTACCAGCTTGCATTCCCACTAACAGTGTAGGAGGGTTCCCCTTTCTCCGCATCCTCGCTGACACCTGTCGTTTACTGACTTGTTAATTTTAGCCATCTGTCCGGTGTGAGGTGGTATCTCGTTGCAGTTTTCATTTGGATTTCCCTGATGCCGAGTGATGTTGAGCATTTTTTCATTTGTCTGTTGGCCATTTGGATGTCTTTGGAGAAATGTCTGTTGACGTCTTCTGCCTATTTCTTCACTAGAGTATTCATTCTTTGAGTGTTGAGTTTGATAAGTTCTTTACAGATTTTGGATACTAGCTCTTTATCTGATGAGATATTTGCAAATATCTTCTCACATTCTGTTGGTTGTCTTTTGGTTTTGTAACTGTTTGCTTTGCTGTGCAAAAGCTTTTTATCCTGATGAAATCCCAATAGTTCATTTTTGCCTTTGTTTCCCTTGCCTTTGGAGATGTGTTTAGAAAGGAGCTGCTGCGGCTGAGGTTGAAGAAGTTGATGCCTGTGTTCTCCTCAAGGATTTTGATGGATTCCTGTCTCACATTTAGGTCTTTCATCCATTTTGAGTCTTTTTTGTGTGTGTATGGTGTATGGAAATGGTCCAGTTTCATTCCTCTGCATGTTGCTGTCCAATTTTCCCAACACCGTTTGTTGAAGAGGCTGTCTTTTTTTCCATTGGATATTCTTTCCTGCTTTGTCAAAGATTAGATGACCGTAGAGTTGAGGGTCCATTTCTGGACTCTATTCTGTTCCATTTATGTGTATGTCTGTTTTTGTGTCTGTACTATACTGTCTTGATTACAGCTTTGTAATAGAGCTTGAAGTTTGGGAATTATGATGCCACCAGCTTTGGTTTTCTTTTTCAACATTAACAAATAAAATTCTTTTTTTTTTTTAAGATTTTATTTATTTATTTGTCAGAGAGAGAGAGGGAGGGAGAGCAAGCACAGGCAGACAGAATGGCAGGCAGAGGCAGAGGGAGAAGCAGGCTCCCTGATGAGCAAGGAGCCCGATGCGGGACTCGATCCCAGGACGCCGGGATCATGACCTGAGCCGAAGGCAGCTGCTTAACCAACTGAGCCACCCAGGCGTCCCAACAAATAAAATTCTTAATGCAGAAAAACTCGGAGCTTTTCCCCTAAGGTCAGGAACATGGCAAGGATGTCCACTATCACCACTGTTCAATGTAGTACTAGAAGTCCTAGCCTCAGTAGTCAGACAACAAAAAGAAATTAAAGGCATCCAAATCGGCAGAGAAGAAGTCAAACTCTCACTCTTTGCAGATGATGTGATACTCTATGTGGAAAACCCAAAAGGCTCCACTCCAAAATTACTAGAACTCATACAGGAACTCATCAGAGTGGCAGGATATAAAATCAATGCACAGAAATCAGTTGCATTTCTATACACTAACACTGAGACCGAAGAAAGAGAAATTACAGAATCGACCCCATTTAAAATTGCATCAAAAACCCTAAGATATGTAGGAATAAACCCAACCAAAGAGACAAAGGATCTGTACTTGGAAAACTATAGAACACTCATGAAAGAAATTGAGGAAGAAATGGAAAAACGTTCATGGATTGGAAGAACAAATATTGTTAAAATGTCTGTGCTACACAGAGAAATCTATACATTCAATGCAATCCCCACCAGAATACCATCAACTTTTTTTCACGGAGCTGGAACAAATGATCCTCAGATTTGTATGGGAACCAGAAAAGACCCTGAATAGCCAAAGGAATGTTGAAAAAGAAAATCACTTTTTCCTTTACTCTGAACTCACACACACCAACCTTCTCAGCACCCCTCTCGGGTGCTTTGTGGGCCTGTGACACTTATGGCTGGCGCGGCACTCAAGCTGGCCTCTCAGACACCACGCCCCCCCCCCCCCGTTTCCCCCCCCCCCGCAAATGGCCTCTGCCTAGGCCCCAGCATCGCCCTTGACTTTTCCCCCTCACATTAGCAGGTCTTGCCTTTAACATGTGGAAGCCGAGCCCTTCCCGAGGTTCCTTTTGCTCATCCAGACTTTCCTAGTCACCAGCTTGGGCTTTGCCATGGTGTCCTTACCGCTCTGTCCCCTCAGTCTCTCTCCCATAGAGCAGACCCCGCTGTTAGGAACTGTCAGTAGGGTGGTGGCAGTCCCCTGTCGGTCCCCTCTCTGGGCTTCCCAGTACATGCAAGCTGCTCATTTCCGCAAGGCCTATTGGACCTGGCCTGGCACCTTAAGGCCTCCTGGGTCTGCTTTGCTTCTCTCATCTCACCCTCGGGACATCAGCACTCCGCAGCCCCTGCCCTCACAAGTCCCTGTCCCCCAGATCTGAAGTGATCTCTCTGTCCCTCCCTGTCCCCCCTCTCATCTCTGCCCACATGTTTCCAGGGAGGCCTTCTCTGCTCCCACTATCTAAAATAGCCCCATATGCCTCTTCTTCAAGCCCTATCCCCTTCCTTGCTTGATTTTCTCCATACCTGAAATTACTTCCATTCATTTTTGAGCAACTGCAGCACACCAGGCACTGGCCTAGGCACTGGGGACGCCAGGAGAACAGGTGCTCTCCTGAATCCACAGTGAGCAGTACTTAGATGTAGGGACATGCAAGTCAGGTAGTGGTTAGTGCTGTTGAGAAAATAAAACAGGACGAAAGACTAAGCAGTGATGGGGCTGACCCTGTACAAAGGGTAGCCAGGGCAAGTCTTTCTGAAGGGGTGACATTTAAGCGACTGAAGGAGACGGGGATGTCAGAGGGTATCTGCACTAAGTGCAAAGTTCTCAAGAGAGGGCAGGCATGTGATGTGGGTGTCTGGTGGGGGTGGCCACGCAGTGGCCATCACGGCTCAAGTTAGCAGAACGAAGGAGAGTGTGTGGGAGGCCATGTTGTGTAGCCTTTGAGAGTTGGGCCTAAGTAGTGTAGCCTTCCTCTGGAGGGTGCTGGAACCACGGGAGGGTCGTGAGCAGGAAGGCAAAGATCACTTGTTAGTAGGATAGAAATGGAAATGGAGAGAGAGAGAGAACGGGAGATTGTGTCACTGTACCTCGGGGGAATTGAAGCCACAAGATGGTGGTGAGACCAAGAAGACAGTGAAGAGAGGGAAATGACTACATTTAATCTTCCTGACTTGTGTTCAAATAACTGAAATCAAATGCACCGGAATGGGCAGATCAAAATGTAATGTTACAGAATCATGTGTTCCTAGAACTAGAAGACGTCAATTCTCCACTTTCTTTTATAGAGAAAAGAGGCCCTGAGCTTCAGTGATTTGCCCTGGATCAGGTGCCTGCGAATAGCACAGTTAGGATTAGTGCCCAGGCTTTGTCATTCCCCTGGGGTTATGGACAGCCAATCTGGCTTAAGAGCCTGGGAGTGGGGCACAGGGAGTGGCTTCTTTGGGCACACCTGGGGAACAGAAAAAGTAGAAAATACTTTTTAAAAAGGTTTGCAATATTTTATTTAAATGTTTGGAAGTGTACATAGATATTGTGCATTCCTAAATGTAATGAAAAACCTGACCATGGGGCACCTGGGTGGCTCAGTCTTTTAAGCTTCTGACTCTTGATTTCAGCTCAGGTCATGATCTCAGGGTCATGAGATCAAGCCGCGTGTTGGGCTCCATGCTGGGCTCTATGCTGGACATGATTAAGATTCTCTCCTTCTCCCTCTGTGCACCCCGCACCACCCTCCCCCCACCACACTGCTTGCTCTCTCTCTAAACTAAACAAAACAAAAACTGACCTAATACATTCCCTGGTGCATGAGCTTGTGTTAACACTTGCGTAAATGCACACCACTTCCTCCTCCATTACTCCCTGTAAGGCTAAATGATTATGGTCTTCAGGAAACATTAAAAATTTCTTGCAAGGGGCGCCTGGGTGGCTTAGTGGGTTAAAGCCTCTGCCTTCGGCTCAGGTCATGATCCCAGAGTCCTGGGATTGAGCCCTACATCCGCTCTCTGCTCAGCAGGGAGTCTGCTTCCCCCTCTCTCTCTGCCTGCCTCTCTGCCTACTTGTGATCTCTCCCTCTCAAATAAATAAACAAAATCTTTTAAAAAAAATTTCTTGCAAATAGTATCCCATATCTTTGTGTGAATGATTACTACTTTTTATTTGGAGGTGGAGTGAGGATTGGTATGTTCATTTATATCAGATTAATATTAATGTATATCCTTCTTTAAAGTAAATGAATGAACCCTATCAAATTCTGTTTTGTTCTAAAATGTACTTTGTGGACATGACTGTTTGAATTACACATACCACATTATGGCACATTAGAAAGCCAAACAAGAAGATTAATCTTCCCCAGTCTCTCTAGCAATCCTCGATGCTCATTTACACCACCTTCTAGCCCGTGTTCGTATTCATTTTAGTAGTTGTCATAGAAGAAAGAATTACTTTAAACGTGAGCCTCCATATTTTTGTATGATAAATAACCAAAAATTGGGGGCCTAAGACAACACAGAAGTCCAAAATAGGTCTCACTAAGCTAAAATCAGCGTGTTCCCAGGGCTTGTTCATTGCTGAAGGCTCCAGAGGAGAATCTGTACCTTGCCTTTTTGAACATCTAGAGGCTGCCTGCACTCATTCTTTGGCTTGGGGCCCTTCCTCCACCTTCAGGGCCAGCAAAGCATCACTCTGACATTGACCCTCTTGCCTCCTTGTAAGGATCCCTGTGATTACACTGGGCCCACCAGATAATCATATATATTCTCCTTATTTTAAGGTCAGCTGATTAGCAGCCTTAATTCCATGTGCAACTTTAATTCCCTCTTACCATGTAACCTAGAATATTCCCAGGTTCTGGGGATTTGGATGGGGGCCTTATTCTGCCCACCACAGCTACCTTGTTATCATTTCACAGATGGCTGAAATGAAAGCATTTATCTTCTGTTTTTGTCTTGTAGAGACTTTTGCTGTGTGAAATAACAGTAACCGTTCACTATGGGAGATGTTCTGGCTCATGAATCAGAATTACTTGGACTTGTGAAAGAGGTATGTTTTACAACACATGGGTCGCAGAAAGAGATCTTGTATTTTACAATGCAGCAAATTTTATAGTGTCTTATAATGCATCATTACATTAGAGTTACCTGTTTTCCATTATATGATTTTTTGTTTTCATAACTAAATTGAAATCCTAAAGCCACTTGAAAAAAATTTCTTTAAAGAAAATTATAATAGGGACACAAGGGTGGCTCAGTCACTTAAGTGTCTGCCTTTGGCTCGGACCATGATCCCAGGGTCCTGGGATCAAGTCCCACATCGGGCTCCTTGCTCAGTTCCTGCTTCTCCCTCTGTCTCCTGTTCCCTCTTTTTATGCTCTCTCTCTCTGACAAATAAATAAAATCTTTAAAAAAAAAGAAAGAAAGAAAATTATAATAACATATGCTCACAGTAAAGAATCAAACAAAGTGGAAGTATGAAAAGTTCATTTCCCTGTTCTACTCCTGCAGGAACCACTATTAATGGGTTAGCCTAGTTTTCCAGACTTTTTTTCTGTGACTATTCAAAATATATTCGCATGTCTGTGGTTTGTTTTGCAAAATGGAACGATGGCGTACACATTGTTCTAAAGCTTGGCTTCTCTCCCTTGACAGTAATATGGCATGAATATCTTCCTGTGAGCTGCCTCATACTTCTTAGGCTGTAGACTATTTCACTGAGTGTCTCTATCTACTTAACTTGTTGTTAATGGACATTTAGGTTTCCTACACTGAAAGCTTTTGAAGGACAGGACCCACACCCTAGGCTTTTTTATATTCTCTGCTGCTTTTAGCATGGGGCAAGCACGTAGTTGGTGCTCAAGAAACCGTGGCTACTGTTTAAGTCTGTGATTAAACCGTTCATCAGGCACTGTGAGCCACGGCCTGGGAACTAGTCATCTGCCCTGGAAATGCAGCTTTGGAATTCGTTGGTGTGATGCTGAATGCATTCTTAAAGCTGGCCCAGCAAAGGGTTGTGGAAAGGGCCTGGGGAAAGAGCCCGCCCACAGGAGATGGAAACTAAAAGACGTGACTGCCACAGACTGAGAAGGAGGGGAGAACAGCAGTAGAGTACATGGTAGGGAAAGCCAAGAGAGGGGTGTCTGGGAGGGATGGGGAGCAGGAGCGCTGTGCTCGAGGATCACTGATGACATTGCCCATCTTTTAATGGTTCGTCTTCTGTTCCTAAGGAAGGACAGCCACTCTTCCCAGTGCCAGTTCCAGGTGGCAAATTCCCAGAGACCTACCAGACCCAAAGCCGTCAGGCCCTCCAAGGATCACTTCTGCCTTTTTCGACATGCTGCACACATCATTTTGCTTCTATTAACAATGATCACAAATCATGAAGCTCACATTTTCTTTCTGAAAGCAAATTTATTTTCTGTAAATAAGCATTTTCTATGATACTGTCTTTCTAGGCTCTGGAGGTATGTGTCAAGTAAGTAAATTCTAAGCTGGATCCTGAATTCTCCCAACGATGACAGTTTGTTAACCCCATTATACATAGGTGACAACTTTGAGCTGGTACAGTTACATCAAAGACAGTTGCTTTGTTGATGTTAAAATAGAGAAATAAATATACATCTATGTTCTTTTTTATAGTATTTAGATTTTGCCGAATTTGAGGACACCTTGAAAACGTTTTCAAAAGAGTGCAAAATGAAAGGAAAGCCATTATCTCAAACAGCAAGTGTCTCTTTAAGGGACTCCAAATCACTGATCATCCAGGTAATATTTTGCTTTTTTTTGGTGGGGGGGGATATCTGTCAATAATCAAGATGCTCTCAAATTGTAAAAAATGCTGTTATTAAGAGAATATTGGAATTGTTTCTGGAAACCTGGTCAGAATGGCTTTTATTTTATTAATTAATTAATTAATTGATATTTTAAAGTAAACTCTGTGCCCACCGTGGGGCTAGAACTCACAACTCTGAGATTAAGAGTCACATGCTCCAATGACTAAGCCAGCCAAGGGCCCCCAGGCACCCCACAGTGACCTGTAGATGCTCAGGTGTTTTTGCATGAATTACAAATATCTTTTTTTTTCTTTTTTTTAGTTAATGTATAATGTATTATTTGTTTCAGGGGTACAGGTCTGTGAATCTTCAGTCTTATACCATTCACAGCGCTCACCATAATACATATCCTCCCCAGTGTCCATCACCCAGCCACCCCATCCCTCCTACCCCCATCCACTCCAGCAACCCTCAGTTTGTTTCTTGAGATTAAGAGTCTCTTATGGTTCATCTCCCTCCCAGATCCCTTTTTCCCTCCCTTCCCCCAATAACCCCCCACCCTGCCTCTCAAATTCCTCATATCAGAGAGATCATATGATAATTGTTTTTCTCTGACTGACTTATTTCGCTTAGCTGAATACCCTCTAGTTCCATTCACATCATTGCAAATGGCAAGATTTTGGGGTTTTTTTGATGGCTGCATAGTATTCCATTGTATAAATGTACCACATCTTCTTTATCCATTCGTCTGTCGATGGACATCTAGTCTCCTTCCATAGTTTGGCTATTGTGGACATTGCTGCTATAAACATTGGGGTGCACGTGCCCCTTCAGGTCAGTACATTTGTATCTTCAGGGTAAATACCCAGTAGTGAGATTGCTGGGTCATAGGGTAGCTCTATTTTCAAACTTTTGAGGAACCTCCATACTGTTTTGCAGAGTGGCTGCACCAGCTTGCATTCCCACCAACAGGGTAGGAGGGTTCCCCTTTCTCCTCATCCTTGCTGACACCTTTCGTTTCCTCACTGGTTAATTTTAGAAAATCTGACTGGTGTGAGGTGGTATCTCAGTGTGGTTTTGATTTGTATTTCCTTGATGCCAAGTGATGTTGAGCGCTTTTTAATATGTCTGTTGGCCATTTGGATGTCTTCTTTGGAGAAATGTCTGTTCATGTTTTTATTTACTTTAAAAAGAGGGAGCGCATGCAAGTAAGGGGAGGGTCAGAGGGAGAGGAAGAGGGAGAGAAGCAGACTCCCCACTGACCACAGAGCCTGCCATTACGGGGCACTGTCTCATGACCCTGAGACCATGACCTGAGCCAAAATCCAGAGTCAGTGCACAACTGACTGAGCTACCCAGGCATTCCAGTAATGTCATCTCCCTTCCCTAGGAAATGGGTTGTGATGTAATATCTTCCACATAAGTACATTTTTGTTTATTTTATTTATTTATTTAAGTTTTAAATTTAAATTCAATTTAGTTGACATACTGTATTATTAGGTATAGTTTAGTGATTCGTCAGTTGCATATAACACCCAGTGCTCATTCCAGCAGGTGTCCTCCTTAGTGTACATTTCTTGGGAAGAGGAAAAAGAGGATACTGTGCAGTTGCTTAAGAACTGAAACAAACATGTTCCCCATCCTGAGGAGTTTTAGGTTATGCATTTTAGGCACTGGGGACTCAATAAACCAAACCAAAGCTCACCCCCTCCAGGCGCTTGCATTCTAGTTCAGGGAGGCTGGATGGGACAGGGAGCAAGGTTTGTCCATGTTGTTGCATGTGACAGAATTTCCTTCTTTTTTAAAGCTGAAGGATATTCCATTATATGTCTACTACATTTTGTTTATCTGTTTGTCCATCAATGGACACTTGAGTTTTTCCCACCTCTTGGCTATTGTGAATATTGTGCTGCTGTGAACACAGGAGTGCAAATATCTCTGAGATGCTGCTTTCAGTTATTTTGGATCTATACCCAGAAGTGGATTACTGGATCATATGCTAGTTCTATTTTTAATTTTTTAGGAACCTGTATACTCTTTTTTATTGTTAATTGCATTTTATATTCCCATCAGCAGTGTGCAGGGGGGTTTGAGTTCTCCATAGCCTTGCCCACACTTGTGTTTGGTTTTGTTTTGACAGTAGTCATCCTAATGGATGTGAAGGGATATCTTGTGATTTGGGTTCACGTTTCTCAGATGTATTCAGGTCCATTTTTTTTTTCTTTAAAGATTTTATTTATTTATTTGACAGAGATCACAAGTAGACAGAAAGGCAGGCAGAGAGAAAGGAAGGGATGCAGGCTCCCTGCTGAGCAGAGAGCCTGATGCGGGGCTCGATCCCAGGATTCTGAGATCATGACCTGAGCTGAAGGCAGAGGCTTAACCCACTGAGCCACCCAGGTGCCCCAGTCCATTTTTTTCTGTAACTTGAAAGACCTCGAAACTTTCTGATTGCCACAAGCGTATTTTTTCGGCTCATCCAAAAAGTAGCTGTGCCCACTGTGATAGCAATTTCAAACAAAATACCTGGAACAGCATCTTAGCAAAATATCTTAAGTGTCAGTGGCACTCAACAAATGGAGAATTTCCCGAAGCACACTTCTGTAAGAAGTGGGTCTATGTGTGTATGTTTGTATTTATAAGTTATTGTGGATGGTGTATAATATTCTGAGCTTGGTGATTCTGGCTGGGATCTTGGTTTATAGTAGAGAAGATCATTAATATTTTTTACTATACTGAGTTACAACACTGGATTGCTTTGTATGTTGGTATTAAATCCAGGGACTATTTCCAAGTGCAGGATATGAATCATAAATTAGGGTGGATTTTAGATGTGATTATAACGATACAGGAAAGGCTTGTGGTCCCAGATCTACAAAGGAAGAATTTAGAACAAACTGTATGTGGCCCATTTGAACATGTGGACTCTGCCAAGCCACGTAAGAAAATACCTTGACCTGAAGCCTTAAAATACTCACAAGTCTGTATGCAACTCTTTCATACAAAGAGTTCTTGGTCACCAGCCCTCTCTTGGGAACACACCTCCCCTGGAGTGGCTTGCAGGGACGGCAGGGTTGGCTGAGAGCTCAGCAGCGGGAAGCCTGGAGTGGGGTCAGGCTCCAGCAGCACTGGCCCTTGGGAAGATCCCCTGCACCTTTGTACCAGTTCGTAATGGGCTTCCTCCCAGTTCTTGACTGTTTGTACTTTGGGCATCTCCCCTCCCGTGGTTGCTGACGGGCTGTCCTTCTCTGTTTCCAAGGCCAAGGAGCCAAGACCTTCCAGAGTAAGGTGATTGTCAGCTGTTCTTGACCACATAACATAGAGAACATTTCTGTGATAAGCACAGTAGAAGATTCTGTTTTTTAAAGATTTATTTATTTATTTGAGAGAGAGTGCAGCTTGGGGTGCAGAGGGAGAGGGAGACACTCCAAGCAGACTCCACACTGAGTGTGGAGCCTGGTGCAGGGCTCATCTTAAGACTCTAAGATCACAACCCCAGCTGAAACCAAGAGTTGATTGCCACCCAGGTGGCAAGATCCTTTTTTTTTTTTTTTAATTTTATTTATTTGAGAGGGAATGAGCAGATGAGAGAGAGAGAGAGAGAGAGAAAGCATAAGCCAGGGGAGAGACAGAAGGAGAAGCAGACTCCCCACTGAGCCGGGAGTCTGATGCCAGGCTCAATCCCAGGACCCCAAGATCATGACGTGAACTGAAGGCAGACACTTAACCAACTGAGCCACCCAGACGCCCCTCGAAGATTCTTTATTAATGAATGTCTTTAAGTATAACTGGACAGTGCAACACTGTGCAGTACATTCCCATTTTATAATATTAACAAGTTTATTTCTGAACAACCTAAAAAAAAGAGGAAAACCATAAAGCCATTTTTAAAAAGTATAAAAAAACAATAATTAACAGTGATGAATAATGGTGTTGGGTGGGGGGAACTGAAGGTTCTACAGAAAATCCAATCCAAGGAACGCTTTTGCGAATGAGCGCAAAATGTAGGTCTGAGTATCTTGGGCATTTGATATAGTAAGGAAAGCAATATGAATCACGTGGTTTGGGGAAGTTCTGTCCATTCTGCCTTATTCTTGAATCTGCAAAATTATGCAGCAGGTGTTTGCAGTGGGTCAGTCGTCATTCTTCTTGTGGGGCCAGTTGCATGATAATCGCCACCTCCTTTCCCCGGAATTCTCTATTTCAGCTTTTGCATGATAGGTTGGGAAACTGTCTGCCCTCCATGGTCAGACTCACACAGCCCTGAGGCTGGAAGGGCACCAGGCCTGTGATCCTTCCTCCACCTCCAGCCTGTGCGTCCCTGTTTCTGTAGTTGGTGGTCATAGAGTCACTTTGTGGTGCGTTGGGATCTGTCGTCACTTCCCAAGTACCATCCTAATGGGATATGCGTTAGCAACATGGAGCAAATGGCAGCACCCCCCCACCTCCCTACCCCCCCCACCCCCCGCCCAGGCATGAGATTGACTGGGGCAGTATGTGGGAGGAGCCACTCCAGAGCTCAGCTGGGCTGTCGGTAAGCTCCCATGTGCGGGTTGAGTTCCGCTGAGGCCTGGCTGGGCTTTGGGTTTGGCCTGGTTTTTATCGATCACATGCTGTGGGTCAGCAAGTCCACGTGTATTTATGTGCCTGTGAGTTTTCTGGCCTCAAGTCCTGGGCTTGTGCCTGGCTCCTTCCACTTCAGAGAGTTAAATGTTTCATCTGTACCTTGTAAAGCCAAGACTTGATACTGCAGCCAGGGTTGGTTTGTGAGAATCTCAGCCTAAGATGCTTGAAGCCTTCTAGCTCTCTCTTTTTCTGTCCCTTATCTCGGGGAGGAGACTGAGTTTTCATTACCCTAGAACCATGGAACATATGCGGCCTGTAGGGTATTAGGTAACTTGTGAGAATTTGGGGTATTGGAAGAATGGGCATCCCTTACGGTTGGGGTTCAGTCTTATGTCTTCTCCAACAGAAGGACCTCGTTGCTGCATTTGACAGTGGAGACCAGAAGGTGTTCTTCGATTTGTGGGAGGAGCACGTTCCCAGTTCCATTCGAGATCATGACTCCCTTGCCCAGAAGTTGGAGTTCTATCTTCACATCCATTTTGCCATCTATCTTCTGAAACACTCCGTAGGGAGACCTGTAGGTTCCCTTTGTGATTTGGTGGGTCTGAGTGGTATGTTCAAGGGGAACGTTAGCTGTTTGTTTTGTAAATGAGCATTAATTTAGTTTTGTGGCCATTTTCTCATATTTTTCCAAGGAGTAGGTGTCCTGTGCCCTGTGCATGATTTTCTATCTCATTCCCAGCAGTTTATTTTGTAGTTTATATGGAGATTAAATAATTTCTGTACATGGTTTTCCTCAATGTCTCAAATTTTTTGAAAACCCAGCAAAATAAAGTTTCCCTATTTGGCAACTTAACATAAATACACATATGTCTAAGAGGACACCTAACGAGATCACATATTAGACTGTCTATCAGAAGAATTTAAGCTTAAGCCATGGAAAGATGCCTGTTTGTGAAGGTCTGTCTGAGCAGTCAGTCCTTCTGCAGGAGTGCAGAGGGCGTGGCTGAGAGTGGCTGCCACTATGGCCGTCAAGCCTCCCAGCATAAAGCAAATGACAGAAGGGAGCAGTGCCATGTTGACATTTGACCACATGCCTTTCTTTTTTCTTTTTTTTTTTTTTAAGATTTTATTTATTTATTTGACAGACAGAGATCACAAGTAGGCAGAGAGGCAGGCAGAGGTGTGTGGGGGGGGGAAGCAGGCTCCCTGCTGAGCAAAGAGGTGGGTGCAGGGCTCTATCCCAGGACCCTGAGATCATGAACTGAGCCAAAGGCAGAGGCTTAAACCACTGAGCCACCCAGATATCCCAACCACATGCCTTTCTTTAGTGGCTTCTCCTTGCATTAGCTACCACCCGCAAGCCCCTGTGTTCACTTATTAAAATGTCAGGGGGGCCTGAGGAGGGGTCAGTAGCAGAGGGAACTGCTTTACAGTAAGCTGTGGTAACCATTCCTGTTCCTGAGGACAAGGCACATGGGGGGTGACATTATGGGAGATTTTCACTTTCTTTATTTCTCTGCCTTTTTCTAACTTTTTAATTTTGACATAGATTTAAAAAAACAAACAAACCATTAAACATCATATATTTTTTTAAGCCCGGTGGCCAGAAGAGGGCTTTCCAGTGTAGACGGAGTAAGATGTGTCGAGTAGAAGAATACACATCCACAGGGTGCACATAACTGGTGTGGCCAGGTGGTCAGGGAGGGAGAGTGCTCGATTCCAGGCTGAGTAGCTCAAGTCCTCCTACCACACTGAGGTGCTGGAGGAAATCAAAGTTGTTTTGGATCACACATGGAACCAGTGAAGCCCGCAAGAGCAGTCCTTAGTTCGCTTTGCAAAGGAAAGGAGGAATGCCATGGAAGCATCTGTTTCAGAAAACCATAAAGGTCCACCTGTTCACCTGTAGACACCTCTCCTGAGGGAATCCTGGAGACACAGCCACATGTTTATGATCTGTGACAAGTGGAAACTGTGCCCATGTCTAATAATAGGGGAATTGGTTAAGTAAATTGTGATAGACCCACGAGATGATATGTTGTCCTGCTGGTAGAAATGACTGTTATGAAGAATTTTAAAGATCTGAGAACATGATAATTACAAAGTAAAAGGGCAGCAAGTGGAACTATGTATCCAGTTCTCTGAGAGTCATGACAAAGTTTGGTCAAGGGGCACATTCAGGGTGGTGTTAGAATGACCAGAGACAGCGTGCTTGCTAGGCTGGGTGGGGAGGAAGCCAGCGTCGTGGCTGAAACTGGAGGAGCCAGAGAGAGGATGGGATGGACGGGGGGGACTGGGCGTCCAGCATGAGACCCCAAGCGAGTGTCTTTCCTTCTTTGCAGGACAAAGAGGACCTGGATGAGAGGATTTCTTATTTCAAAACCTACCTGGAGACCAAAGGGGCAGCGTTGAGCCAGACCACGGAGTTCCTCCCATTCTATGCTCTGCCTTTTGTTCCCAACCCCATGGTACACCCCTCGTTTAAAGAGCTCTTCCAGGTGAGTGACCAACCTGATCCGGGGTGGTGTTGTGGTTTCATCTCGTCAATGCTCGTGGTTTCTGAATGATGCTGTAAAAAAAACTGAAAATTCGCTTCTGTTTTCAGATAATTTTCTTGGGCGAACTTTTCTTGTGCCATAAAATGTGATATTTTTTTTTTGGCTGGATTAAGACTTGTTAACCCAGACTAACAGAACTATCTTTAAGTGTACTTCTTAAAGCATTCCTTGCATACTTTTTCAGTATTGAAAGGTAAGTTTTATTTAATCACAGTGCAAATTGGTGGCCTGAAAAGAACTAGGTTATTTTACGTAATTGCTGGCTATATATGTTTTAATTTGTATTAGGAGTCTCACTTTCTTGGCACATGTCTGAGGACCTGGTTGTGTACTATTACTTCCTTCAGACTACTTGCCTAAGCTCTTTTCATTGTTTTATTTCAGCACAGTTGACATTTCAGCGTACTATTTATTATCAGTGTTTATCCACTATAGTAATTCTTATTGACTTAACAAAATTAAGGTGTCCCCTGAGAGACTTATGAGAATGTGGAGGACTGACGTGAAGGACTGACGCAGTTGCTTTTTCTAAAGCAAGATCTCACACTGTCTCCGAGCATCTCTCTGGAGAGTGCTCATGGGACACGGGACAATGGATGAAGCTCCTTTCTTTCCAGACCCGGCATATCTCCGTCTCCTGTTCTGTTATCCTTTAGTCAGACACCTGTCAGCTTTCCTGAAAAGTAGCCCCGAAACTGAAGGCCAGCGAGCTGACTTCATCAAAGCAGGGTTGGCTTAGAGTAGCCGATGTTGAAGTCTGTGCTTGGTTTTCTTTGTCCATTCAAATTTAGTTTTGCCCCTTTCCTCTCCGAGAAGGCTGAAAATATAGAGCGTTTAAGGAAGGGGGTAAAACTTGAAAAGAAATATTGGGCTTTCTCACCGTGAAGACTTCTGTTTATGAAGATGATGGCACAGCCACAGGGCTGGCCTGCAGAGTTCACCCTCATGGGGGGTTATTTTATCCCCTTTTTTTTTCCTTTTGCTACTCTCTCCATACGTTCTTTCAGTAGCCATCATAGGTGCTTGAGTATGTAAACATAATAAAATCTAAAGCTCATATCTTCCTCCTCTTCCTGACCGTTACGAGGACCTTAGAATGCATTTGCCTCTTTCATCCCCTTCCCAGCTCACATGTTGTTATTGTCAAGTGTTAACACTCATACTTTAACCCCACACGCTACAGAATCTTACTACTTTATGCGATCTGAGTGTGTATGGATTTACCCTTCTATTTATCCATAGTTATGCTTGCTGTTCCGTCTCACATTAAGGACCTTCCATGTGTAATCATCTTCTCTGCCTTACGTATGTCCCTTTAGAGTCTCCTTTAGCTGGAGATCCTTCTTCCTGTTCTTGCTTGTCTGAAATGTCTCTGTTGCTTTCTCAGACAGGGTCCAGAATGGTAGGTTTACAGCTATTTTCTTTCTTTCTTTCTTCTTTAATTTTTTTTAAAAGATTTTATTTATTTGACAGAGAGATCACAAGCAGGCAGAGAGGCAGGCAGAGAGAGAGAGAGAGAGAGAGGGAAGCAGGTTCCCTGCTGAGCAGAGAGCCCGATGCGGGACTCAATCCCAGGACCCTGAAATCATGACTTGAGCCGAAGGCAGAGGCTTAACCCACTGAGCCACCCAGGCGCTCTTTCTTTCTGCTTTTAAAAGATTTATTTATTGATTTTGAGAGAGAGCTTGAGTGAGCATGCATGGGGTGGGGAGGGGCAGAGGGAAGAGGGAGAGGGAGAATCTCAAGCAAACTTCTTGCTGAGCTCAGAGCCCAGTGTGGGCTAGATCTCACAACCCTGAGATCATGACCTCAGCTGAAACCAAGAGTTGGACGCTCAACCCACTGAGCCACCCAGGCTCCCCAGACAGCTATTTTCTTTTATGACGTCGAAGGTGATGTTATCACCTCGCTCCCATTGTTGCTGTTGGAGTTTGGCCATCAGTCTAATTGCTCTTCCCGTGTAGGTAATCTGTCTTGTTCCTCTGACCTTTGAGGTTGTGTAATTTTACTATGGCATGTCTAGGGGTAGATTTCTGTTTTCACTTGGGATTTGCTGAGCTTTCTGGATGTGATATTTTGTGTATTTCAACAGCTCTGGAAAATTCTGTTTCCTCTTCATATATTGCCTCTCCTCTTTATTATTTTTTTTTAAAGATTTTATTTATTTATTTGTCATAGAGAGAGAAGCGAGAGTGAGCACAGGCAGACAGAGTGGCAGGCAGAGGCAGAGGGAGAAGCAGGCTCCCTGCCAAGCAAGGAGCCCGATGTGGGACTCGATCCCAGGACACTGGGATCATGACCTGAGCCAAAGGCAGCCGCTTAACCAACTGAGCCACCCAGGCGTCCCCCCTCTTTATTATTTTTATTGGATGTCTGATTAAATCTACATTTAATCTACATATCTGATTAAATCTGCATTAGACTTGCTTCTTCTGTCCCTTTTTTTTTTTTCATTTAAAAAAATTTGTGGTGAAATACACAAAAATAAAATTTACCATCTCAACCATTGTGAAGTGCACAGGTTAGCAGAGTCAAGGATGTTCCCGGTGTTGTGCCCTCCATGTCTCTGAAAATCTTGTATTTTCCATCTTGCGAGCTCTGTTGGGGCTGTGTTCTGGGTGATTTATTCACACCTGTCTTCAGACAGTCTAATTTGTTCTTTAATCTCTTCTTTGAATTTGTAATTTCGGTTACTAACTTTTATTAATGGAAGTTTTTGTTTTTAATTCAAGTTTATTGGGTCATTTTTTTTTTTAAGATTTTATTTCTTTATTTGACAGAGGGAGAGATCACAAGTAGGCAGAGAGGCAGGCAGAGAGAGAGGGGAAGCAGACTCCCCCTTGAGCAGAGAGCCCGATGTGGGGCTCAATCCCAGGGCCCTAGGATCATGACCTGAGCCAAAGGCAGAGACTTTAACCCACTGAGCCTCCCAGGCGCCCCTGGGTCATTTTTTATAGTCTCTTATTCTTTGCTCATATTTTCAAGCCTTTCTTTTTATTTTTTTTACCATATTATACATCAGCAGCCTTTGTAGATTTGTTTCTTCTGAGTTTAATATCTGCTGGTTCTTATGCACTGTGCCTTATGTCTCTTTTTGGGGGAAAAAAAAAAGTTATTTTGAGTTTTGACAATGAGTTTATTTTACTTGGGACTTGTGGGAATTTTTTGAGGCCTGAGTGGAGTTTGGTTCTTTCAGACAAGATCTGCATTTGCATCTCTCAGTCATCTAAGGCATTACCAACCCAGGATCATTTTAAATTGAATTTCTTTGCTCAAGGCTTTGGGAACCACATAGATAATTTCAGTTTAGGCTGCAATTTTTTTTTTTTTTTTTTTTTTTTTTTTTTTGTGGTTATGAAGTTTCAAATGAGGTTTTCCCCCCCTTCTACCTAATGTCAAGTTCAAGACAGGTAGATTTCCTTGCTATAGCCTTCTAGGCAGTAAATTGGCTTGTCCTTGACTTTTTCCTGATGGTATAGACTTTTTCCTGATGATATAGAGAGTGAGTGCATGAAATGGGGGAGGGCAGAGGGAGAAGCAAACTCCCCGCTAAGCAGGGAGCAAGATATAAGACTTGATCCCAGGACTCTGGGATCATGACCTTAACCGAGGGCAGACACTTAACCAACTGAGCCACCCAGATGCCCTGGGATCCCAGTATTATGCCAGGGTCTCCTATTAGGTTGCTTACTATGAGTGGATCCTAGTGTCTACTGTCTTCTGTACCATGACTGCTCTTAGAACTGAGGTGTAAGGTCTTCTAGACTCTGAGTTATCCTTAGAGTGAAAACTGTCATTTTTAGCCTCTGCTTTTCCTTTCTTGCCACTTGAGGATGGATTTTAAAATATGGTTAACTTATCCACCTTTTTTAATTGTTTTCATTGCTTTTTTAGGTTATCTTTTCTGCTGAGGTGTCACGAAAGGAAATTCCTTTGTAGAGATTGAAATGAGCTCTTTTCAGCAAATTATTTGTCAGTGAGCATCTCCTTGAAGAGATATTTAGGTATTGATCACTTCCAGAAAAACTTTTGGGCACTTAGGTGCCAGGGACCAAGTCAAGCTTAATTAGCAAAATGGAAAGAAATGGAAGGAATTCTTGTGGGCTCTGCGAGGGAGAGAGAGGCAGTGGGTAGTCCAAGAGAGGCAAGCATGGAGCTCTCACCTCCTTTCCACAAGAATACCCTGCTTTTATTTATTTCATATATTAGGGTTCTGGGCAAGATTTTGAATGATCAGAAGCATTTTGCTATTGGAAAAGAAGTCAGACAATCACTCATCTAGTGTAAAGTCTACATTCTACAAGTGGAAAGACTATGATGTGACGAGCAGGAGTGACTTAGTACAGGCAGTATGGAGAACCGGCCCAGTGCTTCCCCCGCCCCATGGGAGCTGGGCAGTCAGGTGCCTAGCAGACTTGGGAAATGTTCTTGTTCTCAAGGCTGAAAGCACAGAAAAATAAGAGCAGTCAAGAAAAAAAAAAAAAAAAGGGATTCATTGCCCAGAGAGATATTATCCCAGTCTTCTCCTTGTCATTAGCAGAGCATCATGAGGTAAACAGTTAAATTGAAAATATATGCTTGTCGGTTATACAACATAGTAATCAGCAGCAGAGCAATTTAACTGAAAGTCTGCATGTCCCAAATATTTTGTTTTGTTTGTTTTTTTAAGACATCTCCATTTCTGTTAGCCAACATAGTAGTCCTTCCCTGCAGTTCTCTTTTACATGGTTGAGCGCAGAAGCTTTGAGTGGTAGCGTGCTGTACTAGTCTCCCAGAGCTGCTGGAACCAAAGGTCACAGACCAGGTGCCTTAAACAACAGAATCTTACTGTCTCCCAGTTCATGAGGCCGGAGGTCTGAAATCAAGGTGTTGGCAGGGCCGTGCTCCCTGTGAAGCCTCTAGGGGAGGATCCTTCCTTGCCTCTCATGGCTTCAAATGTCCCTTGGCTTGTAGCAGCATAACTCCAGTCCCCTGTCTTTATGGGCCCACCTTCTCTCTGTGTCTGTGTCTAAATTTTCCTTCTCAGAAGGACACCTGTCTTGTTGCACTAAGGGCCCACCCTACTCCAGCATGACCTCATCTTAAGTAATTACATCTACAATAGCCCTGTTCCAATGACATCATGTTCAGAGGGGGCTAGGACTTCAGCATATCTTTTTAGGGGACACAATTCAACCCATAACACACACACTGTAACTAAAGCTATCATGCCACATCAGGGAATTACACAATCTTTTTAAAATATGAGAGTATTGGGGCGCCTGGGTGGCTCAGTGGGTTAAAGCCTCTGCCTTCGGCTCAGGTCATGATCCCAGGGTCCTGGGATTGAGCCCCACATCAGGCTGTCTGCTCAGGAGGGAGCCTACTTCCCCCTCTATCGGCCTGCCTCTCTGCCTACTTGTGGTCTCTGTCTGTCAAATAAATAAAATCTTAAAAAAAAAAAATGAGAGTATTTTTTCAAAAAGCCAGATGATGCTCTGGGTAGAACAGGTGGTGTGAGGGCATGGATAAGGGCACAGAGCTGGGGAGAGAAAGCGGGGAAGGACTGGGGTCTGGGGCAGGGGGCAGGGCCCAAGAGGTAAGTACCAAGGAATTTTTAGAGATCTTGCTTCTTTTTTGTGGAACTTCTTGGTTTGGGTGTAGATATTTTTATATAAAGACTGTAAGGAAAATTGTCCTGAGGAAGATAATTGCTTGTAACACTTTTTATTTTACTAGTTAAGTCATTATTTTTTCCTTCTCAATAAGCATTATTTGAGATAAGTAATTTATTATTAAAAGACAAATCAAACTGAAAGTATATCATAAATCTTGACATGATGGGTTATTTGAGGCAGATAACAGCTTCTGTCTTTTTTTCTTTCTTCTTACGTAGATGAAGTTTATGGTGGGGCGTCTGGGTGGCTCATTCGTTAGGCATCTGCCTTCAGCTCAGGTCGTGATCCCAGGGTCCCGGGATGGAGTCCCACATTGGGCTCCCTGCTCAGCGGGAAGCCTGCTTCTCCTCCCACTCCCCCTGCTTGTGTTCCCTCTCTTGCTGTCTCTCTCTATGTCCAATAAATAAAATCTTAAATAAAAAAGAAGAAGAAGAAATAGATGAGGTTTATGGAAATGAGTCTTTCTGTTTGGGAAACTCTCAGGAACTGAGTGATAACCATGTGTGCCTGCCAGCACCGTGTGTGCTTCCACGATTCTGAATTCTGTTTGGCCTTCCACCTAATAAGCTTATTTGTCATGCTTGCGCTTAAATCACTTGAAATATTCAAATCACGTACAGGGCTCTTTTTTCCTTGTTTATGAAAGAACTCCGTTCTTTCCTCCTGCTGTGGGTATTTGAATCTTTTATAAATGAATTGGTCAGATGTCCAAAAACCTAGTTTTCACAGCATCGCACCACCGGCAAGGCATCAAGCTTTTCATTTCAGTAACTGTTGGATGGGGTTATTTTAAACCAAAGGCCACAATTTGCCAGTGCTCTTGGCACTTAATGATCTAGGGCTTTTATCATTTTTCTTTTTTTATTTCAGGATTCTTGGACTCCAGAATTAAAGTTGAAGTTGGAAAAGTTTCTGGCTTTAATTTTTAAGGCCAGTAACACGCCGAAGCTTTTAACATTATACGTATCCTTTTGAAGCCGATGGAGACCCCCTGTGGTGCAGGAGGGGGCACACTGGCTTAGGCGCCACTGAGATGGGGATTTAACTGTTAGTGTTGGCTTTCATGTTTTTGAGGTGAATGAGGCACTCATGGGAGAGTGTGTCAAGGCCCATGAAGAGAATTCCAGGTAGAGGAAATAGCTCATGCAAAAGGACTGAGACAGTATATTTGGGAATTCAGTATTGCTGGACCTGAAGAATAGAAAATCAGAGACTAGGCAGGGCCCCAGGCACAAAGCTTTGTATGAGGTCTTGTAAGTCAAGAGAAGCCTTTAAAGCCTTTTAGTAGAAGAATATCATGCTCATATTTACATGTGAAAAAAAAAATCACTCCTTTTTACTCCTGTTTATAAAATTGATCATATTCCTCATAGAAAATCTAGAAAGCACAGAAATGCATTTGTATATGTACATACACCCCAAAATATGTAATATTTACATAAACACAGATACCTGTACATGTGTGTGTTTTTAAATACTTTTATCAAATGAAGAGAACATTTCTCCATATCATTAAATACTCTTCAAAAATAGCCTGTTTCCTCAAAAGTTGAAACATAGAGTTACCATATGACCCAGCATTTCCTCTTATAGCTTTATACCCAAGGGAACTGAAAACCTATGTCCACATGACAATGTGTACACGAATGTTCACAGCATTCAAAAGAGCCAGAAAGCGAAACAACCCAAATGTCTCTCAAGGGGTGAATCAATAGCTAAGATGCAGCATACCCGTATAATGGAATATCACTCAGATGTGTAAAGGAATGAAGTCCTGACAGACAGATGCTACAATGTGGATGAACTTTGAAAACATCGTGCTGAGGGAAGGAAGCCAGACATGAGAGACTGCATATTATATGATTCCGTGTGTATGAAAGGTCCAGAAGTGGCAAATCAGCAGAGACAGTAGATAGTGGTTGCCCAAGGCCAGGGAGGGTAGGGGAAATGGGGATGACTCCTAATGAGTACAGGGTTTTTTTGGGGGGGGGGTGATAAGAATGTTCTAGAATTGATTGTAGTGATGATTGCACAACTCTATGAATATACTGAAAACCAATGAAATACATACTTGAAATGGATGAGTTATATGTGAATTATATCTGAGTAAAGCTGTTACTAAAAAAAATTAAGAAAACACAAACCGAACAAGTTAAGTATTTTGCCTTCAGTCATGTGGCCCGATGTGTGGGAGCTGAGATTGAAACTCAGGCAGTCTGGCTCCAGAGTGTGATCTCAGCTACAGTGTTTTGCTGTTGTCATCCCGATCTCAGTTTTCTTAGGGTAGAGCTCTAAAATGGAAGTGACAGAGTTGAAGGGTGTAGGTTCAGTTTGCATTTTTTAGTAGAATGTTTGGTAGCAGTGGGGACGGTCTTTGGAAGGGGGCAGGGAGGCTGCTTAGGGGGCTGTTGAAACAGCGCCAAGACTTGCACGCACGCAGCAGGAATTGAGCTGGAGAGAAGAGGAGTCACTTGAGAGTGAGGCATCCAAGTACTGAGAAGTCTGTAACTGTCTCAGCTCCTTACAGCTACATTAGGAATCAGCCTTCACTGTCCTGAGAATTCTCCCTTAGACCTTTGTTAAGGCTCTTTCTCAGACTGGCCACACACAGTGTGAGAGACCCTGAGGACTTTATCCTCAATGCCTGTTTTCCTCAACTTTTTTCTCATCCCAGAAGGAGAACGGACAAAGTAACAAAGGTAAATCATCTGGATTAACATTTTTTATTGTTTAATTTTTATTTTTTTAAAGATTTATTTATTTACTTATTTTGGGAGGGGGAGAGAGAGCGTGCACGCGCAAGCAAGTGAGCAGAGGGAAGGGGCAGAAGGAGAGGAAGAGAGAGCCCCAAGCAAATTCCAAGCTAAGCACAGAGCCCAATGTGGGGCTCCATCTCATGACACAGATCACAACCTGGGCTGAAACCAACAGTCGGTCGTTTACTAGACTGAGCCACCCAAGCATCCCTAGATTAACATTTTTAAAGAACAGTTTTGCCAGCTCAAAAGTTTTGACTCACTTTTGAGTAGTGAGATAGGAACAGAGATGGAGAAAATGTGTGAACTTGGTGAACAAAGGCTTTAAAAGTCTAAATTATTTTTTTAATTAATAAAAGTCTAAATATTTATGAAGTGCTTTGCAGTCAAGTTTATCTGAGGTTCCTTGAGGCCCCCTCTGCAGGAGGGCTGGTGGATAAGGTAACCCAGATGCGGAAAGATGAAGGGAATCCAGGCCCTGCCCCAAGGGACAGAACTGCAGCAGCACAGCCAGAAGATCCTGTGCAGCCGGGGGTGGGGGGCGGAAACGAATCATTTTAGTATCTTCACTCTTACCTTGAACTAGTGTGTGGGGTCTTACTTCCGTAGCAATATGGAGCACCATCTTAGAAGCATTTCCATTTTTTGCATTCAAAGTAGGAATTCCAACTTTAAGTTTTTAGAATAAAATGATGGTTTTCCATTATGAGCTTTTTTTTTTTTTTTTTTAAAAACACCAGAACTGTTCATTTTTCAGTAAGGTGAGAAAAATGTTAGGTAATATGAAGTCAGTAGCCGGTCAGCCCTTGACACAAGGGTTTGTAAAACAACAACAACAACAATAAAACAAATAGTGACCACAATTGTGGCTCTTTGCCTGAGCTTTGGCTTTGATGCTACATTAGGAAACTGCTGAAATGTTGGAAAGGGTGCATGAAGTGTTTCACGCCTAAGATCTGCTGTCAGTGCCCAGCAGGTGGAGTTTTACCACGTGAAATAGCACATTGGCCCTTCCCAAGGCAGGGTAATGTTAGAGGGGATCGCAAAACTTCCTGCCATTGTTTCTCCGTGGTTTTTTGGTTTTTTTTTTTTTTAGAGAGTTAAAGTTTTGTAAAAAAAGGAAACATTGGTAAATTATTTAGCTCTTTGCTTTCCAGGGAGTTGACAGAGGAACGTTTTACATTTGACACACAAGGAGGGAGGCAGTAGCTTTAGATGCGGGAAGTCTGAATGCCTGTTTCTGCCTTGTGCGGCTGTGCGTGTCCCCAGCAGTTCTGCCACCCTCCTGCCCCCCGTAGCTCAGAGGGACAGGACCTTCACAGGGGAGCATCGGTCCATGCCTGAGCATGGAGGAACTGGGCCACAGATGTGGCCTTGTGGGGTCAACATGGAATGCTCCAGGGGTCAGCAGGCCTGTAGCCTTGGGGCTCGCTGAGGCTGCTCTGCCCCCAGGGTAGTTGTGCCCGAGGATGAGTCCCAGCAGATTTCCTCAGCTCCTCAGGCTTGCTCCCTGAGGGGTTAGTACAGTTCCCAGGTCTTGGCTGGCATGGGTCCCTTGCCAGTTTTCTCATATTAGGAACAGTGGGAATTTTTTTTTTAAAAAACAATTTATTTATCCATTTTTAGAGCTGGAAAGAGAATGTGAGCAGGGGCAGGGGCAGAGGGAGAGGGACTGAGGATTATGCCACCAGAATTTACCAAAGGTGTGAAACACATCATATACCCTTTCCCGTCCTCAAGCAGACCCTGTGCTAAGCATAGAGCCCAGTGCGGGGTTCAGTCCCAGGACCCTGAGGTCATGAACTGAGGCAAAACCAAGAGTCATCACTTAGCCATCGGAGCCACCTAGGCGCCCCCAGAGCAGTGGGAATTCATACACTGCACTGAGCCTTTGGGTCCTGCCCCGTGACTCCCAGAAATGCACCTTTGCCCTACTGTTTCTGTTTCTGTTGTAAGCTAGTGCACCGCCTCAGGCTTCGTGGCTTTAAAACAACAATGTCTATTTATATTGTCATCATCATCTTGTGTGGTGTGTGAGTCTTGTGCTCAGGCTCTTCTCCCTCCATGTCTCGTGGATGCAGACGGAGCCTGGTGGAGCCATCTTCAAGACTTCCTTACCCACGAGCGCAAGTCTGAGGCCCTTGTCTGGAACATCTGAGTGACCTGGGCTTCCTCATGGCATGGTGACCAAGCTCCAAGGGCGAATGTCCCTAGACAGAGCCAGTGGAAGCCGTGTCACCTTTTCTAAACCAGCCTTTCTAGGAACTCAGTGTCATGTGTGCTGTATTCTTATTAGAAGCAATTCCCGGGGCGCCTGAGTGGCTCAGTGGGTTAAAGCCTCTGCCTTTGGCTCAGGTCATGATCCCAGGGTCCTGGGATCGAGCCCTGCATCAGGCTCTCTGCTCAGCAGGGAGCCTGCTTCTTCCTCTCTCTCTTCCTGCCTCTCTGCCTACTTGTGATCTTTGTCAAATAAATAAAATAAAATATTAAAAAAAAAAAAAGAAGAAGCAATTCCCAAGGCCAGCCTGCATTCGGGGGAAGGAGAATGGCCTTCCGCCTCTGGACAGAAAGGAGTGTCAAAGACGTGGCAGTTATTTGAAAACCACTATCCCACCTGCGTCCTTTGAGTTTCAGAAAATCGCCTTAGTTCTCTGTTGGATCTGTTTGGTCCATGTTCAGATTCTGTCTTTGAGCTCCTAGGTGCTTGTGGAGGGAAAGATGGTGGAAAGCCTCCCGACTCCTGAGCCTCAGCCAGCCCTTGTCACCCCAGCATACCCTGCGGTTTCGGAGGCTAGCCAGATAGGAACCACTGAGAAGTGGCCCACTTTCACAGATAAAATAAATCTGCGAGGGGACGAGCCTGTGTTTTTCTATAGCTCTTTCCTTTGGATTTCAGCAAGGAGACCAGGGGGTTTGAGCCTTCTTTTGGTTTGATTTTTATTGAGTTTGCTGAGGAAGCCAAGCAGAATGTGTGTGGAATTGAGACTGGCAGGCACAGCCTGTGTGTTGCCTGCGGTGTTGCCATGGAGACCAAAGGTTAGCCCCCTTGGGCACTGGTGCTAGGGGCTCCAGGTTGGCCAGTGTCTGCACTTTGTGGTTGGCCGGTGTCTGCACTTTGTCCCCTCCTCCCACACTTATGGCTGCAGTGGTCACAAAGCCCAGACATGCCACCAGTTTAATTTAATTGTGGACTTAGGTGTTGTTTTTACATTGAATGGTTGGGCAAGTCATTATTCTGTGTATCTTGATAGGAAGGGTTCATGGACAAGCTGATTTCCATAAGTGTTGAAGGAGGCTAGAAAAGTGCTTGGAGTGGAAAATTGTTTCAAAAGGAATTACATTTTAAAATGGAGTTTAGAAGAAAAATTCAGGTTGGAAATACAGCATATTGTGTTATTATTTTACCTGGCCATCTAAAAAAGGTAGAGAAATAGTATCTTTTAGCATTTTTGCCATTAATTGATTTGATCCCTTCAGAAAATCATCAGCTGACCATTTTTCTAGAGTGTAGAGACCTAAATGGTGTTTTTAAAATGATGACTTATATTCATGGTTATACATCATAACTTTCTTAATCCAGCACTTATGGATTAGCAGAATAGCAAAGAGCTGATTTATATCTGAATACAAGGAAGAGAGTATATTGTATTGTAAAGTTAGAGTGATTGATTATAGATTTTTAGATATTGGAAAAAGAGTTCCATATTTTAAAATGTATCATTTTGTCTTGAGCAACAAAGGGATCTCTAAAATTAAATCTCATCTACTCTTTAAAAAAAAAAAAGCAATGTACTTAAAATGGAAATGTTAAGAGAAAGCTTGAGGCTTGGCCGCAGGGGAGATCTCCATCACTTCTGTTACTGTTTCAGTGCATGCTGGAATGATCCAGAACCTTTCTGTGACCTTAACCCACATTCTTTTTGTTGTATATATACATCTCATTGTTTAAAACTTGAGATGTAGTTCCTTGGATTTTGGTACAAATTATGTCAGTTTTGAAATGTGAAGAGTCCCAGTAAATGTCACTGGCATGACTAAGACAGTTTCATTAATATAACACGGAATTTGTAATGACTCCTCTCCACTAAAACTTGAGCTCTTGCATGGCAAGGGATCTTGGCTCAGATGTCCTTGTCTCATAAAATTTTTGAAAAAGGAAAAAAGAGTCAGAGTTCTTTTTAATGCTCAGAAATAAAGTTGAGATCTTAGAGCTGTGACCCCAGTAGCTTCCACTAAGTCAGGTCCTGTTTGCAGGCAGCTAAGGTGTCTGCATGGTCAGCAGGCTCTTCTGCTGACTGGTGTATTTGAACTGGTCACAACTATTTCAGCCCAGCTGCCCACTTCTCTCCTTCCTATGGCTGCTGGCAGTTAGGTCTCTCTACCCTTGGATGTACCATACTTTGGAATTGTCCAATTTTGGGATCCCAAGGCAGAAGTGCCACAGTAGTCCCTTACATTTAGCTAATGGCACAGTGAGTTTTTGAGTTTCCAAGTTTCCAAGCAGGAGTGTTCCTTTCTGCAGTCTCTTTCAAGAGGACGACTTTGGTGACAATATAAAATTTATCATCAATATAAAAATTGATGATTTGTGAGGTCATTTGTCCCAGTTAATGGGTTTTGGTACTTCATTCATCATCTGCCACTTGGTACGCATTGAGAAAGTTTGCACGGATGCTCTCTAATTGTCATTACTGATAGAATTATGAACCAACCTGTAGAATTTTCATCGTCGGAAGTTCTAGTCTATGTAATCGAGAATTTTGTACATTTAAAAATCCTTAAAAATATTTAGCATAGGACGATGATAGTGACTCCTTCTCTCTAATAATATTTAAGTAAAAACTTGATAAATGATTTCCAGAGATGTTCTCCAAAGATTGAATACCTGATGTAAATTCATGCTGGAAGAGTTTTTAAAGTTATCTTTCAATACTGAGATTTGAAGGATGCTAAACAATAATAATAATATTAGTTCATTATTATGTGATATTTTGGGTTTTTTTTTTTTAAAGATTTTATTTATTTGACAGAGATTACAAGTAGGCAGAGAGGCAGTCAGAGAGAAGAGGAAGCAGGCTCCCTGCCAAGCAGAGAGCCGGATGTGGGGCTCGATCCCAGGACCCTGGGATCATGACCTGAGCTGAAGGCAGAGGCTTTAACCCACTGAGCCACCCAGGTGCCCCATATTTTGGGTTTTAATAGTTAAGATACTTTACTTCTACACATAATCATGAAATAAAGTGTTTGAAATATAGTTTGTGCACGATCTTCATGGCTGTTTAGAACAGTGAGAGGAATAGATGAGTTAGGATGGCCATTCTCAAATGTGTGGTTTGTGTCTGAGCCACATGGGGACTTGTTGACACTGTCGTTTCTAAGCTCCCAGCCCACACCCACAAAATCAGAATCTCTGGAAGTGAGGCTTGATCATCTTTATTTTTGGATGATTCTGACATATTTCAAACATTGTGTCCTGCTGTTTTCCAGTGTAACTTCTGGTTTTTTCAAGTTCTCTTCTTGCATAGAAATACATTTAGAAGATCTTGGGCCCTTCGCATAGAGGAAATAATAGCAAGTGCTACCACTTATTGACTACCTCCCATGGGCTATTGGTGAACTAGGCACTTGGATGTATCTGTCCATTTAATCCTCCCAATGATTTGGTTTTCTATGTGTGCTTTTAAAAAAATTGAATACATTGTTTCTTAAATTAATACAGTGTTGTATTAGTTTCAGGTGTACAATACTCGGTGTTCACCTGGATAGGTGTTGTCCCATCTGTCACCGTACAGTGTTATTACAATATTATTGACTGTATTCCCTGTGCTGTACAATCCCACAATAACTCTTCGAGGTCATTACTATCATCACCATTTCATAGGTTAAGACATGAGAATCAGGGGTGCCTAGGCGGCTGGGTTGGTTAAGTGTCGGACTCTTGATTTTGGCTCAGGTGATGGTCTCAGGGTCGTGAGATTGAGCCCCTTGTTGGGCATGGAGCCCGCTTAGGATTCTCTCGCTCCCTCTGCCCCGCTTCCCCCTTGCATGTGCACGTGTGTGTGTATCCTTTCTCTGTCTCTCAAAAAAAAAAAAAAAAAAAAATAGAAGGGCACCTGGGCGGCTCAGTTGGTTAAATGTCTGCCTTCAGTTCAGGTCATGATCCCAGTGTCCTGGGATCAAGCCCCGCATCGGGCTCCCTACTCAGCTTGAGCCTACTTCTCCCTCTCCCTTTGCTTGCTGCTCTGCCTACTTGTGCTATCTGTCTATCAAATAAATAAATAAAAACTTTAAAAAAAAAAAAAGAAAGGAATGAGTATCCCAGAAGTTAAGTGTCTTGCCCAAGGTATCCAGCAAGAAAGTGGTAGAGAAGGGGCTTGAGCCCAGGCCTTTATGATTTAAAATCTCTCTGTGTATGGATGAAATGTGTTCTAAAACAATGACTTTTAAGTATTACATGGTCCCTGGATTGGGACAAGAGGGAGTTAAACTTGGGTCTGGGGGCAGCGTCATTTCCTTCGATGCAAACTTAGCTTTCTGGGACAGAGGGAAGTAAGAGAGGGCAAAGGAGCGTTGACACTGATGAAGATTTGCTGTTCCAGCTGTGTCCTGGGTGGTATGGCCATCAAGTGCTGCCCCTGCTGGGGAGCCCAAGAAGAGAGCCCTAGCACCTTCCAAAGCTGCCTGCTCTAAGGCCCAGTGGGGCGGTTTGTGCTCTATCAAGCTGGCAGAGTGAGCACCTAGAACCTTACCTAATTCTGGATTCTCACTTTCTCAGCATTAGTCAAGTAGCCTAACCTTTATTTAAAATGAAGAATTGTCCTGCAGATACTTACTCTCCCCCAGATAACCTCACTGGTCAAAATGGGGAAAAGACGCAGGTCTGGTTCATCCAGTTTGTGAGCTGATTATAGAAAGAAACACTGAGTTTGTTTCTTTGTTCATAGAACAACTAAAAGAAATTGCATGGAGCTCAGTCAAGGAAATGGATTGTGAGGAAAACCAGTGATGGGTCAGTTGAACTACCAGAGATAAGAAATTGAAAATCAGGGACGCCTGGGTGGCTCAGTTGGTTAAGCAGCTGCCTTCGGCTCAGGTCATGATCCTGGCGTCCTGGGATCGAGTCCCACATCGGGCTCCTTGCTCGGCGGGGAGCCTGCTTCTCCCTCTGCCTCTGCCTGCCGTTCTGTCTGCCTGTGCTCGCTCGCTCTCTCTCCCTCTCTGACAAATAAATAAAATCTAAAAAAAAAAAAAAAAAAAAAAAAAAAGAAATTGAAAATCAGTGGTTTCAGAGCACATGGTAATTAAACACGTGGAGAAATAGCAGCAAAGCGTTAACCACGAATAATGTCAAGTTCATTGTGATAGCAAAATATTCTGAAAGTAGACACGATACTCCCTTGAGAAGAATATGACTATTTTGTATTTTTGTGGGGTTTTTGTACTGTTGTTTTGTTTGAATATATAATGTCTTCCTAGATGTGTCCCAGCAGCTCCACCAGCAGCTGGTAGAAGCTGAACGGAGGTCCATGACGTACCTGAAGCGGTACAATAAGATCCAGGCGGACTACCACAATCTCATCGGGGTCACAGCAGAGCTGGTGGATTCTCTGGAGGCCACAGTCAGTGGCAAGATGGTAAGAAAGATCCCCAGTTGCTCGTGTGTCTGTTAGGAGCTAAAGAAGTGCTGAGAACATGGACTCTGTTGATAATGGGATTCCCGGCCACTCCTGGCCAATGGCGCCTGCCCCCTGTGCCTCACAAAGCCAAGTCCAGAAAGGAGACCACACTGACATCCCACACCAGTTATTGTGCTGCTCGCAGTATTTTATCCATTTTTCCTGACACGCTCTCAACCACATCATTATTCCTCTGCCTTATTCTTTACGTTAACAAAGCATAAGTTGTCTGGCAACAGAAAAAAATAATACGGAGTGGCATAAAAATGGGAGAAATACGCTACTGGTATAGAGGAAAGTTACAGATTTTCACATATTGATTTGATATCCAGCTATCCTTCTGAACTCTTTTAATCTGAGAGATTCTTTTGATTGATACTCCTGTATTCTAGGTTGGCAGTCATATCATCTTCAAATAATGATATTTTTGTTTTGTTTCCTTATTTATAATGACTTTTCCTTTTTCTTAGCCTACTGGCTAAGACTGTGCAACATTGTGGAATAATGTGGTCATGGGCCTCCTTGTCTTATTCCTGACTTTAATGGGAATGATTTTAGTGTTTCCCTTACTAAAAAATTAGAAAGTGTAGTAAAATTTCTTTGTGGAAATACACATTTTCTTTAAAAATGGAATAATTGTAAGTTCACATGCAATTTTAAGAAATAACGCAAAGAGAGTCTTGGCACAGCTGCTCAGTGTCCCCCAGTAGTGATATTTTGCGTAACTGTTGTTCAGTAGTGCAACCAGAACGCTGACATTGATCCAGTTCTGTTGACCTTATTCTGATTTTCCCAGTTTGGTACTCATGTGCATGTATTGAGTTGTATATAATTTTGTCACAAATGTAAGGTTGTGCATTAAAATTGTTTTTAGTGGGGTGCCTGGCTGGCCCAGTTGATAGAGCATGTGACTCTTGATCTTGTCGTGAGTTTGAGCCCCATGTTTGGCATAGAGATTACTTAAAAAAAATTTTTTTTAGTGACTTCAAAATATGATTATGAAATAATATGTATTATAGAAAATTTTAGAAATAGAGAACTTTGTAAAAATGAAATTTGAATTACCTGTAATTGTGTCACTTAGTAATAACACTTAACATTCTGTATTTTTTTTCAGTGCTTGAATACGTGTATTTTACAGAAATGGACCCTAGTTCACCCAGTTTTCTAATCTTTTTTCCTTACTGCTGAATCGTGCATTCTTTTTTTTAGTCTTTTTTTTTTTTTTAAGATTTTATTTATTTACTTGACAGAGAGAGGGAGAACACAAGTAGGCAGTGAGGCAGGCAGAGAGAGAGGAGGAAGCAGGCTCCCCGCTGAGCAGAGAGCCCGACTCGGGGCTTGATCCCAGGACCCTGAGATCATGACCTGGGCCAAAGGCAGAGGCTTAACTCACTGAGCCACCCAGGTACTCCTGAATTGTGCATTCTTCTTCTTCTTTTTTTTTTTTTTAAAGATTTATTTATTTATTTGATAGACAAGTAGGTAGAGAAGCAGACAGAGACAGAGAGAGAAGGAAGCAGGCTCCCCGCTGAGCAGAGAGCCCGATGTGGGGCTCGAGCCCAGGACCCTGAGATCATGACCTGAGCCGAAGGCAGAGGCTTTAACCCACTGAGCCACCCAGGCGCCCAATCGTGCATTCTTGACGTCATTATTCTACAAGTCTCACCATTAGTGGCTTCAATCCCATCGTTCGGCAGCGTCATACTTCCCTTAGTGTCTGTTCCCTGCGTTGGGACATCTAAGTCATTTCCAGCTTTTCACTGTCATAAATTACAAATGTAATGGGAGGAGATGAGCCTCTGTGACATTTTTAATTTTAAAATTTTATTTATTTTTTTAGGTTTTATTTATGTAAGTAATCTCTACACCCAACTTGGGGTTCAAGCCCACAACCCTGAGATCAGGAGTCACACACCCCACCAACTGAACCAGCCTGGTGCCCCTGTTTCATTTGTTGTTTTTTTAAAATTTTGTTTCTTCTATTTCATTTTTTAAAAGTTGGTTTTCTAGGTTGAAGTCTATACTCAGGTCCGGTAGGAAGGTTCTGCTCATCTGAGTCCCCTGGCAGTGCTTATCTTTATACCCCTGCCAGTCCTGGCTATTGGCATTAACATCTGTATTTGTTTGCAGATTTGATCGATGAGAAATAGTATGTCAGGATTTAAATATACATTATATTCTTTACACATGACTTTGAACATTTTTTATATGCTTCTTTCATTCATTGAACACAGATTTGTTGCATGTTTACTGCGCACCAGGCCTTCCCTATTCTAGGCATGTGGGCTCTATTGGGCAGCAACACAAGGATCCTTGACCTCAGGGAGCATACATTCCAGTAGGGGCGAGAGCTGATGAACAGTACACATAAATAAACAAATAATAAATGACGTCGTGAGTTAGAACTTGACAGTGGCCGTGGGGAGTTAGAACTTGACAGTGGCCGTGGGGAATTAGAACTTGACAGTGGCCATGGGGAAGAAAAGGACCTGGGTGAAGGGGATCAGAGTTGGTGGGCATATGTGTGTATGTGGGCAGGGGGCAATTTTAAATAGGCAGTCAGGGTGAGCGTGATTTGATCTTCACTGGAAGAGGCGAGGGAATTAGGTATGCTGTCCTCTGGGATGCCCCCCAGAATTCTAGGCCAAAGGAAGAGGATGCAAAGGACCCAAAGTGGAAGTGTGCCTATCCTGTCTGAGGAGCCCAGTGAGGGAGGAGGAGCGGCACAAGCAGGTTGGAGGTTCCAGGGCGGGAGTAAGGATGGGGCCTTTCCTTTCCTGGGGAGCAGAACAGTGGGATGGTGTGGTCTGGCATGCTGTGGAAGGATCCCCTCTCGTTGCTCTAGAACGCTCCTTGGAAGGTTAGTGGAAGTAGAGGGACCAGCAGGAGGCTCTTGCAGTCACCAGGGCAGACCTGGTGGTGGAGGAGGACTTAGTAGGCAGAGCCGGAGAGGTGCCCCGCCTGTGTGTGTGAGGACAAAGAACCAGCAGCATCTCATGCTGGCTTAGACCTGGAGAGGGGTTGGGGGAGGGGCATGGACGACTCCAGGTTTTTGGCCTCGGCTGTGGGAGGACAGCGGCAGCACCACCAGCTGAGACGGTAGGCCTTGGGTAGAACAGGTTTTAGGGAAAAGCAAGATACAGCTTTGGACATCACTGTTAAGACACAGGCCATTCAGAATTCATCTTTTGTAAATATTTTCCATAGTTTGTTTTTTGGTTTTTTAAAGTAGTGTTTCTTAGTTTCGTAAAATTTACGTGTTTATATAGTCAAATCAGTTGATCAAGTTTTCCCTTCGTTCACTCTGCCTTTTCAAAGTGCTTTGAAGCTTTGAAGTGAAAAGAAGATTTTTCCCACTTAAGGGAGCCAAAATAAATGTTCACCTTAATTTTTTTCTAATGGTCGTTTTACTTGGTTTTGATTGTTTTAATTTTACCTTTAAATCTTTAATCCATAAGAAATTTATTTTAATAGATGATATAAGGAAGAAATGTACCTCCCCCACCAAAAACCATTTGAGTCAGACTGTTGACTTCTGTCTTAATTTACTAATTTGAATGGCTACCTTTATCATGTAGTGGGATTTTAATTTTTTTCCATTGATCTGACTCCTAAGCTAGTAAAGCTTTTTTTTTTTTTTTTTTTTTAACTGTAGTAGTTTTTCAGTATGTTTCAGTATCCTGGACTGAAAGCCTCTTTGCTCCCGTGAAAACTTAGCCCATATGGCCTGGTGCGGCCGGAACAGTGGCCACATGCTGGCAGGGGAGGCAGGAAAAATGGATTGGCAAATTGGGGACACCGAGAGACCAGGCTTAGGAATTTTTGCTATGTCTGTTGTTAGCAACGAGTTTTTTAAATATATACCTTAAAAATTGGACTTTTCAAATTAATTAGCTTTTTTCTAGTTTTAAAAATAGCATGTGTTGTCTTTTCTTTAAAACAGAAAAGTATCAGAAAGAAACCGAACATGGCTTCTGTAACCTCTGGTAACAAACCTGGGCACACGGTTAGAAGATATATACAGAAATATATAAAAAGAAAAGCATATGCCTTCCTCTGCCTTCTCTCCTGTTAAACAACAGTCACCAGAAGAGCCAGAGTCGACATGGCCTTGGGCGTGACATGCTGCCCAGGGACAGGTGTGTGAGCTCTGACTGCCACCTCACAGGGAAAGAGGGGACAAGCTGGTAGGACCAGGGACTAGACTCTTAACTGGCTTGTTTTTAATATAAAAAAATACAAGTTTGTGGTAACAGATTGGAACACGTCTGAGTAGGCTGTATTAAAGAGCAACCCCCACCCCCCAACATACACAGTTTCTTAGTGTCCTTTCTATGTTGGTATTCAGGATGATATTTTCTTGTGTATTTTTTCCAAACATTTCTATGTATGCATGTGTGTGTGCTTGCGGCCTACATACGCTTGGGATCATGTGACCCATTATTCTTCTGAAACTTGCTGCTTTACTTTCAGTGTATCTTAGAGATCTTTCCACATGACCACATTACCCTCATTCTTTTCTGGGCTTGTATATTATGCCATTGTATATTATGCCATTACCAACCGTAACTCGTCAATCTCTGATGGTAAGCATGTAGAGTTTTTTGTTTACTAGAACAAAAAAATGTGGCAGTGAACATTCTTGTATGTACTGTATACCTTGGAAAACAGGTAAGGTAAGATCCTAAGAGTGGAATTGTTAGGTTAAAGGTTATGGGCATTAACATTTTGGTAGATGTTGCCAAATGAGTTCTCCTGAGATTCCTCCTGTGATGTCTCCCTAACCCTCCCGGGAGTTTATCCGTATCAGGGTATTTATTTGTCCACACACTTGCCAACACTAGACACTATTATACTTTGAACTCATTCCCGGTTTGGTAAGTGGAACTTGGTGTTCTGAATGCTTCAATTTAGATTTCTGTAATTATGTATGAGGCTGAATATACATTTTCGTGTTTGTTGGCCATTTATACATTGCTTTTCAGTCTATGGATTATTTGCGTCCTTTCCTCATTCCCCTGTTTTAAGCAAGAAGGTGACACAATTGAATTTTCTTGCTAAAGAAATGGTTCTGGTAGCAGTTTCAGAAGTTAAAGGAGGAAACAGTTTCAGGATTAAGGGGTTGATGCAAAGTCTCAGAAGCCACAGAAAACTTTAAAAGACTAGAACTGAAAAGTGTCCAGTGATTTTGACATTTAGAAGGTCAGTGGTGGTGGCCTTTGCTGTGAGTTTCCGTGGAGTGATGCAGCTGGAAGCCTCCATGTAGTGTGTTGGGAGGTCCAGGGAGGGTGAGACAGCAAATGAGGGCTGTTCCCTTGAGGACCTCGGCTGTGAAGGAAGAATACTGAGCCAGTGGTCAGTAGGTGAAGACCTAGTTTAGAGGAAGGGGAAGGTGCTTTTTAAATATGAACTGTATTTGGATGTGTTTTTAGTTTATAGACAATGAAGAGGTATAAAAGGAAAGGTTAAAAACACAGGAGGAGAAAGAAGCGTTTACATTTTGATACTATTGAAATTCAGAGGAAATGGATGCAGGATAAGGTGCAAGTGCGGGCCTGAGACGGAACGCTTCTTTGAGTTGCTTCATAAGGAACTGAGTGTCAAGCAGTGAGCACAGACATCTTCCATGGACACACCGAGACTTTCATGTGTCTGAAGCAGACCAGAAGTTTCTAGTGGGTCGGTGGAGTCCTCCAAGGAGAGAAGAGGGCACAGCTCTTTCTGACTCATGAATCAGTTGTTTGGTCCTTGCATGGGGACAAGCGAGTGAGGGTGCAGAGAGGGGCTTGTGATATAACCATGTGGGAGTTTGCCACGGGGAATCATGAGCCCGGGGAAAGGGAGCTTCCCCTCCAGCAATCAGGCATAGAAAAAGGGCTGGAAGGGTGCAAAATGGTTACCTCCAGGGATTGGCATATGGGGAAGGATGGGACTGGGGAGAGGTTGGGGCACTTGCACAATTTAAATGTGCATTTTTTTAATAAAAAGAAAAGATACGAAATGAAAAGAAAAAATTCAGATTACCATCTGAGATGTGGTATGCCAGTCCTGAATTACAGTAGCTAGCCAGAGGGTGGGAGAGGTGCTAAAGGGAGGCCGGAATCGAGTGCAGTGACAGGGACAGCACTGCACCTCACGCTGGCTGGCACTGGATCAACAAATATCTCCATCATTCATTCGGAAGGCACGTCCCGGACGACCTGGCCTGCGTCAGGTGTATGCGGGACCTCATTACCGCTGTCACCGTGACCAACAGAGCAGACCTTGTTCATCTCACTTGACAGGTTAGAAGGCAAGGGGCAGAGCTGTGGGTTTGCTCGAGTCCAGCACTGGAGCCCAGATTTTCAGGTGTCACGCCCACCGTCCTTTCTAACACACGTTGGCCACCCGATTGACTTTATTGCTTGAATCCACACACACAGAAATGGCTTAAAATCAGTTTCTTTCACATGCCCATGAGAGTACATCTCATGCACTTAAAGAATTTAGAATATGAGAGTCCACGATCACAGCAGCAGGGTGTTAGTGGTTTTTTCTGTCAGGCCCAGTGCTCTAGCTCCCAGAGCTCCTGTGTTCAAGCAGAATTCCATCCGCATACCTTGCAGAAAGACCGGTGAGAGCTCTGCTCATCACCTGGGCCCATGACGTCCCTGGGGGTGCTTTGGGCCTCTCACCAGCCACCCTCATGTCCTCTCTGCAGATCACCCCGGAGTACCTGCAGAGCGTGTGTGTCCGCCTCTTCAGTGACCAGATGCGACAGAGCCTGGCCCACAGCATGGACTTCACGAGGCCTGGGACGGTGAGGCTTGGGGCCCTGCGGCTGCACCCCCCCCAAATTTAAACATAGCCTAACTGGAAAAGTGAAGGAACAAGGGCAAATTACATGCAGGAGTCTGCGTTTCAGCTGGCCTCGGAGGTCTAGAAGGTTCCCGAAGGAAAGAAAGGTGTTTTTGCAGAGTGAGCAGCTGGGAGCTGGCTTCCCGGGGGTGATGGGAAAGAGGCACAGTCTGCTCTTCCCATTGGGGCTGTTCGGTGCCCAGGCCTGGTAACAATCAGCAAATCAATAGGAAAGGAAGGAAACTTCATTCTCTTTTTGAAGCCCTACAAAGACAGGCTCTCTCTTTTTTTCTTTTCTTAACTTTTTACTTGGAATAATTGCAGACTTACAAAGAAGTTGCAAAAATAGCACAAGGGATACTTGGATACCCGTTACCCAGATTCAGCAACTGTTGACATTTTACCCATTTGTTTACTTTGCACACACATGCGTGCACATGCACACACGCACACACAGTCTGTTTTCTGAGCCATTTGAGAATAAATCACATATATTATGGCATTTTGCTGCAGTGTAGAGTTCCTTTCTTAATGGGAGTGCCCTCTTATCTAGCCTTACAGTGATCACTTGAGTAAATTTAACGTCTTTATGGTATTCTTATCTAATTTGGGCATTTTCCAATTTGTCTTGAGCCATGTTCTTTATAGTTGGTCCCTCATTGAAGAAATAGAGCATTTCTCTTTTTTGTGTTTCATATTTCCTCGTGATTAGATTCAGGGTTTGCATCCTAGGGTGAAATATTACTTAGGGGATATTGCATCCTTCTTAGGGTAGCTCACCCAGAGGCTTGTGGTGTTGAGTTGGGGTTCTTAACTTGGGGAGCAAGGACACCTGCGTGTCCTGCAGATGTTTCCAAAGCCCTTGAACCCATGTCCCTGGAGCTCACCCCTACCTGCTGCCTGGGCCACCTGCTAAATAGTGGAGCCAGGTGTATTCCGTTCAGAAGGAAATACCGGGGGGTCCTGAGGCGCCCCCCTGGGTCAGAGCCACGGCTTTTAATTAACGGGAAGGGTTTGCACATTAATATTAGGGTCTTTATAAACAGTGGCCTTTTTTAGTTTTAAGAAAAAATGTATATTCTACCTCATTCTCAAGTAGGTTTAAAGCAACTTACTATGAGAAAACACAAATATGAAAAATAGAAGATGGAGGGAACGAAATTGTGGTTAGAACTCACAGAAACAGGGCACCTGGGTGGCTCAGTGGGTTAAGCCTCTGCCTTCGGCTCAGGTCATGATCCCAGGATCCTGGGATCAAGCCCCACATCGGGCTCTCTGCTCAGCAGGGAGCCTGCTTCCCCCTCTCTCTCAGCCTGCCTCTCTGCCTACTTGTGATCTCCACCTGTCAAATAAATAAATAAAATCTTTAAAAAAAAAAAAAAACAGAAACAAAGTAGAGTGGTGGTTGCGTAGGGCTGGGAGGTAGGGGAAGTGGCAGATGTTGGTCAAAGGATGTAACTTCTAGTTATAAGATGAGTAAATCCTGGGACTTTATAGCGTTGTGGCTAATGTTAACAATATTATATACTTGAAGTTTACTAAGAGAGTAGATCTTAAATGTCCTCACCGCCCCACAAAGTAATCAAGGTGATAGGCATGTTAACTAACCTAATCACAGTGATCATTTCACAATACATCCATTTATCAGTGTGGCACTTTGGACACCTTAAATGTATACAGTGTCCTCTGTCAACTATGTCCCAGTAATGCTGGGGGGAAAAGAAATTGTGGTTAAAAGAAAATGAGCGTAGGACAGTACAAGTAAGCCCTGGCCAGGGCATGTCAGAGCTGCTGGATGCAGGCCGAGGCAGGCCTGGCCCGGCTCTGAGCTTCTTCGCAATCCATACCTCTTGGGCCCGGGAGTAGGTGTGACTAACTCCCAAGGGAAGAGAGACGGTTGCCTAAAGTTTATTATCTGCGTTTACTGCATCTGAAACAACATATGTCCTACACATACAACATGGGAAGCACGGCAGTGGGCTGAATGACCCCGAACCCGCCACACATTCACCTGACAGACCATTCCCAGGCCACGGACACCATCTCTGGGCCCTTGAGACTGCCAGTTTCTTTTGTGATCTTGACGAAAGGACACAGTAATGTGGGGGAGAGCAAATGTCCCTGACCCCATCACTTGGCTGCTCCCAGGAGCACTGTAGAGCCGTGGGTGGTGGTGGCTGCGCCACAGGGGGCACCTGAATAGCTTAGTCAGTTAAACGGCTGCCTTCAACTCAGGTTGTGATCTCAGGGTCCTAGGATCGAGCCCTGCATTGGGCTTCCTGCTCAGCAAGGAATATGCTTCTCCCTCTCCCTCTACTGCTTTCCCTGCTTGTGCTCTCTCTCTCTGTCAAATAAATAAAATCTTTAAAACAAAACAAAACAAAACAGAAGCTGCATGGTCTGTGCTTTAGGATATGGCCGCAACAGTTTTAGCATGCAGAAATCTTAGGGAATCAGCCACTTTTAAATGTCAGGAAAGCACACAGAGACATCCAAGTTTCGGAAAAGTAACTTCCTTGTGGACCTTCCAGGATAAGGGGGTTCAGGCCACATCCCCGAGGACTGGCTGAGTTGACCCTCTGTGTACACTGTACATTTAGCTATAAGTCAGTTAAGGAGAATTTTTACCAAAAATGATGGCTTTCTAGCAGTAATTGGCATAGCGGGATCTGTCTATTAGGACTATTCCTTTCCTCCCTCCCTTACACTTATTTATTAGTTCAGCAAATACTTAAGTGTTTTTCAGGTCTGTGCTATAAAATCCCATCCTATCTTGCATATACAAGCATCCTTATATTTTCACTTTCTTTTGGCAGAGTGATGCTCCCAGCTTATTTAAAATGGATATCGTGTGAATAAGGAGCAGTTTAAAAGGGAGGGGAGCACAACATATCTGGTATTTTACCCCATTAGACATGAATGTTTTTTGTCAAGAGATGAGTGCTATCATTCTTCCTGTTACAGTGGTATTAAGGTACAGATTCTAGGCCTTCAAAGCCAGAGGAGAGAGGATGAGCTCTGTTTATCTTAGTTCCTAACCATTTCTTTCTCCTGAGTCACTAAGGAACAGGCAATAAAATCTGCAAACAATCTTTTATTAGTCCCATAGATTTCTCTCTGAGATGATAAAAAGTGGATATGAGTCATTGTAAAAGAACATCCTTGTGAAAGTATAATATGTGTATGATGTTGGATTTATAATATGTGAAGAGGAAATTAGAGTGCAGTTTAGATAGGAAGTCTGGTGGTTGAACAGTAGGATTGAGGATTTGGGAGAGGAGGGCTGCTTTCTTATTTGCCAAGGGTTTAAGTCCAATGCTAGGTCCAAACACAATGCCATCAGTTTCAAGATAAAGAGGTGGGCACGGCCCAGCATGCCCTTTAGTGTGGTCCTGCATCAGCTCCCCTCTGTGCTGTTGACCTTGAGTGTTCCAATTCATTGTACCCTATAAAGGGCCCATCAGAACACTGCTGGTATCCATAAAGTTAGTACATTTGATACTGGTTTTTTAAAACTGGCTGTTTTTGGCCTTCTGCGACCTCACTCACAGTTGAAAGTTCAGAAGGACTCAGTAAATAACACCCTTCTAATCCCTGAGTTCTGAACCATTTGGAAAATAAGACAAACGAATAAAGGAGAAAGGAGCTGACAATATTGCTATTAAATCTGATGAAGCTTATATTGGAGAATGTGGATTTTCTTTATAGACAGGTGGGTTTCCTACATTTAAATCCTGGCATTCAAGAAATGCCCCCCGCCCCGCCCCAGTCACGGCCAGCTCTGGCCAAGCCCCTCCCCTCCCCCAGCACCGCTGGCAGCAAGGGCCCAAGGGCTCTAGGACTGACTCCTGCCCCCAGGAGCACTCATCTCCCACCAGGGAAGCAGGGAGCAGGCCAATGTGTGCCTGGTTCTTTCCCAAACCCAAAAAGCCTGGAGCAGGGGGGAATATGCTGGCCCAGGGCCCTGCGGAGGAGATCCCACGAGCGGGGCCTAGTCCACGTTCAGATGACTGTGTCCAGATCTCCACACACGTGAGTGGAGCGGGTAGTCAAATTCCAGTGTTCGAAGAAGGACCAATAATGACAGGATTGATTGTTTGAAAAGAGAACTCTCTCAGGTGGCCCCTTCCAGTTAGACTGCCTGTCGCCACCGTCACCCCCTGGTTTGTCATCCTGCATTCCTTACTAGCTCAGCCTCCAGACCACGGGTTAGTATCTCCTGGGAAACAAGAGAAATCTGAGTTTATCTTTTCAGCAATCTGATCATTGTTAAGAAGGGAAGCTTCTCCCTCAGGGCACAAAAGGTAGGGATTTTTTGTTTTCTAGGATTGTACAAGTAATACACAAATGTGCTCACTGGAAAATATGTAACAATTTAATAGTAAAGTGAACACAAATGCCTTCTTTCCATCACACTAACCCCATCTCCTCTCCCGCCACCAGCGTCCCTGGTGACTGTTTCATACTCATCCTTCCAGACTTTAAAATTTATATAGAATCAAGGTTTTTATTATACACATCACTCTGCAACTATCTCTCTGAACTTAGTACATTTTAAAGAGTTTTTTTTTTTTTAAAGATTTTATTTATTTGTCAGAGAGAGAGAGAAAGAGAGAGATCACAAGTAGGCCGAGAGGCAGGCAGAGGCAGAGGGAGAAGCAGGTTCCCTGCTGAGCAAGGAGCCCAATGTGGGACTCGATCCCAGGACGCTGGGATCATGACCTGAGCCTAAGGCAGCCGCTTAACCAACTGAGCCACCCAGGCGTCCCCATTTTAAAGAGTTTTTTATGTACTTCTGGATTTATTAATATTTTCCTTATCTTTTAGAGTTTTAATTTAAGAGCAGTATGGTTCCTTTAGCCATTCCTCTAGCAAACCTTTAGGTGGCTTTTCAGTTTTTTGCTGTATCTGATAACGATGCAGCACACATCTTCAATGCTGCAGATAACACGGGAAAGACCA